CGCACACAAATACTGTGGGTAACTCTCTGTTCTGTGATGTCATCCACTGTCATTATAATCAAAGCAAAATTACTAAAAACGACCACAAAATGTTAGGTAGATCTAGCCTCTATAAAAAGCTTGCCACTTTTAGTATTACTGGACATAAATCACCATTCACGGTGTTATCTAATATTTACTCTGAGAATTAATTACAAAAATAGGATATTAGTGATCACGTGTATCTGTTTCTTTTTATTAGTCTGATCACAAAAGATCATTCTGAAGAGTCGCCGATAACCCAAGAATCTTTTAGAATGTGTTAGAAAATACGCAAACACGAAAGCTGAAGAGAAATATCCGTCAGGCTAGACAGGTCTAGAGTTTACAAAATCGTTTCAGGTGGCCGGTTATGACACGCCGATTACATCATGTATATTTTAAACTCAGCTTCATCCTCCAATTCCTCATACATTTTAGAATCAAATGACAAGTGGTCTTTGTCACCAATACAAATCTTTTAGATAAAATCATGCGAAATAAATTAAATCTAGGGGTAAAAACTGTACTGTCGGCCAACTTGTTTGAAATGAAAACAAAGCAAAATTCAGATTTTACACTGTATAGCATTTGCGCCTATTTACAGAGATCCATTCGTCTTTATGTTGCATGTATTGGCTCACATGTTTTAGAATATGCAGTGGAAGTGTATCGTAGCTATTACAATGATTTGGTAAAATCAGGTACGGTTCTGCGTGACGCAATGACTGACGCAAAATCATGCACAACGACGATGTTATTTATCATCATGTCGGACTTATTCTCTTGCTAACAATGGACAACATAAAAAAATATATAAAAAAACAGTACGCAGATTGTCAGATTATTTCAGGATACTTACATCACATATTTATGTAGATATACGATCCTTAATCAACGAAACTCCTCTTCTGTCAGTGAACACGCCATTTTGTAAAAGACGGTCACAGGTTGTGATGTCATAATGTAAATATTGTTGTACATATTTGGACATTTCTTTTGAGGTGAAGGTCGAGAGATATGATCAGTCCAACGTGTGTTTTACATATTTTTCCACGCAATAAATTACATTATTGATTGTTATCAATGTTCAATATCATATCATACATAAAAGAGGCCACATAATTTATGGATCTTTGATAATCTCTCGTTTGTTAGAACCTTATTTACAAAAGAAACTGACCAATTTAAATGCTGTACACCATATTCACTTTAGACAAGTGTTAGAAGATGAAATGTAAATATTTCCTTTGGAGTGTTATATTCAACATTGTAAACAGATTTCACGTAAACAGGTTCTGAATAGCCATTTCATTTTATTTCATAACTAAAACTGAATATATTACTTTAACAGTGGATAGTGTTTTTTTATTAAATATAAATGCACACATTTATAGGAGGGATTGTCTTGGTCATGGAATTGTTTTTGGTTCCTTGAGTGACAGAACATTGATGTATAATGACATGCCAGGTGCGCGTTAGTTGTTAACGAATTTCTCCTCTCCTTTTGCCTAATATAATCAATTGTTTCATATAATGTCATTTTATGTTGTGTCAAAAAAGTGTCAAATTCTGTTTTACAAATCGATGTTAGTCAATACACTAATGTCGCCTTTCTCCTACGTCGCCAGACATAAAAGCGTCAAACGTCAAATATAGTTTTTCATATTATTGATAAGGTAAGTACTACATTAATAATAGTGCAGCATGGGTCACATTACACTAACACAATCAGGTGAATGTGGGTATCTAAGGACTAATTTACATGTTAGACTGGGCCAGTCGTGTCGCTATTACTTCCCTTTTTATGAAGTGCGAATTCATCATTTATTTATATGATTTGTGCTAATACCAATATATATGGATATTTGTGTTAGACTAGTTTGGTTCGTCGTGATTAATATATATACTGGTTGTACGATTATACATTATAGTTATCCAAATGCAATGTCTATTCCATAAAATTCCAAAATTATCATCGGCGAAAACTCTAACCGCCTCAGATCGACATAGAACATTTGTCTTTTCTTGTCAAATAACATGTTTATGTCACCGAGTGACCTCACACAGCTGACTATGAACAACCTCTTTTAACAAACTGTATTCCTTAATAAATCAACGCTATAGTTTCAGTCTGAAAACAGTAAGAATGATTATTAAATCCGAAAAATCTAGTAAACCCTTACACATTAGCTTAAATTGTGTTTTTATATCTTCATATACTAACGAAAAATGTAACTGTCCTTCATATAAAGTTCAAGAAAAATATATTTATTCTGAAATTATATAATGCATCTTTCAATAAATACTTCTGAAAGACCCGCAAAGAATAGGCATATATCATATAAAGCCACTTGCCTAAGGTTGGTTGGTTGGTTTGTTGTTTAACGCCGCACTCAGCAATATTCCATCTATATGACGGCGGTCTGTAAATAATCGAGTCTGGACCAGACAATCCAGTGATTGATATCATGCGCATCGATCCACGCAATTGGGATCGATGACATGCAATAACCAAGTCAGCGAGCCTGACCACCCGATCCCGGTAGTCCCCTTTTACGGCAAGCATGGGTGGCTGAAGACCTATTCTACCCCGATCCTCACGGGTCGCTTGCGTAAGGAGACACCATATGTACCATGTGACCCGTGAAGATCGGGGTAGAATTGCGAGTTCTTTGGGAGCATAATACTCACACACATTGTTTTTAAATGTGAACAGAACACAATTATTGTTAAGCTATCAGGTGCTCATACAAACACTTTTGTTAAACCGTAAATAACACTTACGCAATGCCACGGCTTGTTGAAAATCATTGTTAAGCATTCATGAAAGTTTGTTTCCACTTCATAAAACGGAATATGTTGTCAAGCTGAATACATGCCCAGAACCATGTCAACTCTATCTCTATTATGTGCGGATGAGGAGATCTGTTTTCTCTGGTACCACCGATGGGATATTCACCAAAAGAGTATTGGAGGCTGCTAAATAAATGTGATCTTATAAAAATTCGATAAAACACACAATGTTGCACCTTTCCCTTTAAATATGTCAAGCTCCAACCTTAGGTGTCTATTCCAAAACTTTGAGGTACAATTAAGCATGATCTGACTACGAAGATTTCAAAGAACGTCATACGACTCTTGCTGAAAAGTTGTTTGATCAGGGTTACAGTATTTAAGGTCTTAAAAAACCCTGAAGACACGTGGAGGACATGGCCAAATTCCATATTGTGACTTGTACCATTATGTTTCCGTGTTTTTTTTCAGTTGAACAATTGACATGCCTGTGTATGTGTTTGTGACGGGTGCCGTCGGTAGGGTAGGATACGCTCACTTTTTCACGAACACATGGTACGAGGGGATATCAAAAAGTTTTGAGCCTCACACAGAAATTGTAAAATAATTGGATTGTTACTACTTTATTTTTCTCCCAACTCCACACACTTGTTCCACCTAGTTTGCCAGTCACTGATGCCCGATCGGTAGAAGTCAGCATTCTGGTCCCCTAACCAACCCTCCACAGCAGCAGTTAGCTCATCGTCATCTTCAAATCTCCGGCCCCGAAGGTGGTTTTTTCAGCCTGGGAAAGAGGTGGAAGTCACTGGGGGCTAGGTCTGGAGAATAGGGTGGGTGAGGGAAGAGTTCGTAGCCACATTCTTGCGCAGCTGTCATTGCAACACGGCTCGTGTGGACTGGTGCGTTGTCCTGGTGAAGCAGAATCCCAAGACGGATTTTTCCACGGCGTTTCACCTTGATGGATTGGCGCACCTGCTTCAATAACCTGGCGTAATACTCCCCATTCATTGTGGTGCCATGGGGCAGGTAGTCGATGTGAATCACTCCTTCGCTGTCCCAGAAGATGGTCATCATAACCTTCTTGGTGGATCTGGTGGCTTTGAACTTCTTTGTCTTTGGAGAAGTGTCGTGTTTCCATTCCATCGACTCCTGTTTGCTCTCCGGATCATAATGATAAACCCAGGTTTCATCACTGGTGACAATCCTAAAATGAAAATCATCTGGGTTGGCGTTGTACCGAGTTAGCAAGGCTCCACTGATAGTGACCCTTGATAGCTTCATGTCATCTGTAAGCATTCTCGGGACCCATCTGGCACACACTTTGGATATGTGGAGTTTGCCATGAATTATATTATGTATGGATCCATATGATAGGCCTGTTGTTTCTTCTAGCTCATGGAGAGTAATATGGCGGTTTTCCATCACTAGTTTGTGTACAGTGTCAATATTTTCAGGGCTGGTACTGGTTGATGGCCGTCCGGACCGGGCATCATCTTCTAAGCTCTCTCTGCCACGCTGAAATTCCTTCACCCACCGTTTGATAGTTGCAGACGATGGGGAAGACTCTCCATAAACTGAAGTCAATCGCTCTTCCACCTGTTTGGCAGATTGACCCTCTAGGACAAGGAACTGTATCACCGCTCTGTACTCAGATTTGTCCATTTTGCCAATTCACTAGGGGTAGGTCTCTTCCACGAAGTGTTGTGACAAAATAATTGCAGCCAGCAATATGTTTCTACATAGCATCAGTAGCTAAGACATTCATGTACATCAGGTGTAGCGCATTGTACCATTCGACCAGGAATACTGTGTGAGGCTCAAAACTTTTTGATATCCCTTCGTATCTATTTGATAGGTATTCATAAACACATACTTACGATATAATCGGACGCGTACAATGAACTCTGCTTTTAGCAGAGATTTCTTTTTATTATTGCAAGGGTTTTTTGTCTTTTGTCGCTTATATTATTCAACTTTTAACAGGCCTAAATCAAACAAAATGTAATGATGATGTCCCTAATGATGTTACTATTAATGTAAATATATACCCTATGTAGTCGATGTTATATGTCATGCTAAACAGTAAGACGGTTGTGTAAGACACAAGGCTGTGTTTCGGTAGAACAATGACTGACTGGATCTGCCAGTGAGTTGACACTTCCAGAGTGGAATGACAACAGCCACAATGTCCTGACATGATTTTATTTCCAAGCGATTGTTTACATGTTTGTTTTACAAAACAGAAGAGCAAGAAGCAACACCCGGACACGGTTCAACGATCAATGAGGGGGCGGGGTTACACATACAGTATGACTTCGTGTTGTGCAGGGAATATACAGTAGCCACTTGTCCTCACAGAAGGCAACAGTGAACACTATACAGATATGAAGTTATATATATAGGAAATCTCGGACTGTCGTCTCCAGTATCGGATGTAAAGTATAACTCTATATAAATATGAACAATAAAATGCTTTCACTCAACGTACGACCGATAAGAAGAACCACAGTTATGTCAAATAGTGAACGCAGTTGGTCAAGAAAAATATACGAACCGTCTTGTGGACAAAATCGATATTTGTAATGTCTTATGATCACTATGTGCTTTTATTGCACCGAAACACGTTGAGTGAACGCTTCAATCTGTTCAGCTTAATTATGACGGTTTTATGACTAAGGTCCTTTTCAGAAAGCGATATTAAGGTCAAAGGCTATCGTAAGTCTTTGTGAAACAGTGGTAGCTACGGTCGTCCTTGCATTAGGACCGCTTTGTGAAACAGTGGTAGTTACGGTCGTCCTTGCATTAGGACCGCTTTGTGAAACAGTGGTAGTTACGGTCGTCCTTGCATTAGGACCGCTTTGTGAAACAGTGGTAGCTACGGTCGTCCTTGCATTAGGACCGCTTTGTGAAACAGTGGTAGCTACGGTCGTCCTTGCATTAGGACCGCTTTGTGAAACAGTGGTAGCTACGGTCGTCCTTGCATTAGGACCGCTATGTGAAACAGTGGTAGTGATCGTCCTTGCATAAGAACCGCTTTGTGAAACGGGTGACTGAAAGCATGGTGACATTCTACCTGGAGTGACCACCCAATCCATCCCACACAGTTCCCACGACAAGCAGATGCTACTTAGGGTCACCTCTGGGCCATGGTGCGTGGAATGGTGGACACAATTACCCCGGAAATGTAATATCTGATTTAGCCTTGTAATGAAAAATATTGAAAAAATATATAACTCCATTTGCTATAATAGACAAAGCAAGTATGAAATAAAAAGCGAACGGTTTGTGTACAGTGGTCTTACCAGCCCACTCCAGCTGAGGGGTGGGCGTACTAGGGTGGGCTTTGACAGGTTAGGTCTGGGAGTCGTACTGGGTACTTTTCCACTGACTCTCTGTGTTCTTGAAAGCTCCGTCGCCGTGGATCTCGACGTAGGAGGACTCGGTGTTGGCGCCAGGGTTGACGATGCCGTGGACTTTGATCTCCTCCTCGGGTCGCCGATGACGTCTCCTGAAGCAGCAGCGTTACATATGAGCTTCATCAAGTCAAGCCTGACAGTCAACTTTTGAAGCGATACATTGGCGATATTTATGGCAGCACTAAGATGGGTCAAGGGCAGACAATCGACATGCACATTCGATACGTGTGTGTGCGAATGTATGATTGAGACGTTATATAGATGTCATTAAAGCATGGACTACATCGGAAAATATAACTTTCTGATGTTACGCAAAGTATAACTAAATTCACCCTTGTCGAATGAGCGAATGGGTGAATGTTGTTTCATAACTTCATGTTCAGCAATATCACGGCTACCTTTGAATAACCGAGCCTGGACCCAGCAAACCATTGGTGGATAGGACGACCCGTCGGGGCGCGGAAGCAGGGCCCAGATCCACAAAGCGATCTTAGCACTTCCCCAATCGTAACTCTCATACCATGACAAAGACTTATGATAGTCGTACCGCTAACATCCCTTTGTGGAACGGTACCCAGATCACATATTGTAAACACGCGATCCTCGTTTCGATTGGGACGCCCTATTCTGACTCACTACAGGGGCGCCCCTCACACTTCATTTAGAGAGCTGCCACAATGGTGAAGGTAAGGGGAACTTGATGACGTACCAGACAACGACAACCCCGCCGATGACGATGATGACGATGATGACGAGAGTAATTCCAAGACTGATGGCTGCAACTTTGTCTGAAGTGATAAACCAAGGACTTCGTCAGAGGGATACATGTCATTCTGAGTTCGTTATATTGCCCGGGTGCTGGAGGATGTCCTGGGTTCTAGAGTCACACGAAATGTGAAATATTCTTCATGTAATACAGTAACTTAAAATGAATAATCGACGCTGTTGTTTAAAATGTCTCCGCTGACCAAAAGCCTAATTAAAGAGTTTTTCGTTTCCGTAGAGGATTACGAGTTATATCCCTTGTCCTGTATGTATGTCCACAGAAAGCTGATGTTCTAACTAAATCAATAAAACTGTTGCTTTTCACTATCAAATACCCTTCACAACAGCAAAGAAATGTTGATTTTATATTTGTCATTTGAAAGTTGTCAGGGAGCTACAGTTTGAAACTCAACTGTTTAAATGGTCTGGTGAAATTACGTTGCACTGCTTCTAAAGTCTATGTCAATGCTACCAGAACGAAGGTAACTGAGACTGGGTGTGTACGTGTACAGAGGGAAGCCATGGTGACGTGGACAGACTGTATGTGTTTGTATGTGTACAGGGGGTAGCCATGGTGACGTGGACAGACTGTATGTGTTTGTAGGTGTACAGAGGGTAGCCATGCTGACGTGGACAGACTGTATGTGTTTGTATGTGTACAGGGGGTAGCCATGCTGACGTGGACAGACTGTATGTGTGTGTATGTGTACAGGAGATAGCCATGGTGACGTGGACAGACTGTATGTGTTTGTATGTGTACAGGAGATAGCCATGGTGACGTGGACAGACTGTATGTGTTTGTATGTGTACAGGAGATAGCCATGGTGACGTGGACAGACTGTATGTGTTCGTATGTGTACAGGGGGTAGCCATGGTGACGTGGACAGACTGTATGTGTTTGTATGTGTACAGGAGATAGCCATGGTGACGTGGACAGACTGTATGTGTTTGTAGATGTACAGAGGGTAGCCATGGTGACGTGGACAGACTGTATGTGTTTGTATGTGTACAAGGGGTAGCCATGGTTACGTGGACAGACTGTATGTGTTTGTATGTGTACAGGAGATAGCCATCGTGACGTGGACAGACTGTATGTGTTTGTATGTGTACAAGGGGTAGCCATGGTTACGTGGACAGACTGTATGTGTTTGTATGTGTACAGGAGATAGCCATGGTGACGTGGACAGACTGTATGTGTTTGTATGTGTACAGGGGGTAGCCATGGTTACGTGGACAGACTGTATGTGTACAGGGGGTAGCCATGGTTACATGGACAGACTTTATGTGTTTGTACGTGTACAGAGGGTAGTCATGGTTACGTGGACTGACTGTGTGTGTGTGTTTGTACGTGTACAGGGGTAGCCATGGTTACGTGGACAGACTGTATGTGTTTGTACGTGTACAGAGGGTAGTCATGGTTACGTGGAATGACTGTGTGTGTGTTTGTACGTGTACAGGAGGTAGCCATGGTTACGTGGACAGACTGTATGTGTGTGTACGTGTACAGAGGGTAGACTTGGTTACGTGGACTGACTTTGTGTGTGTTTGTACGTATACAGGGGGTAGCCATGGTTACGTGGACAGACTGTATGTGTTTGTTTGTGTACAGAGGGTAGCCATGGTTATGTGGACAGACTGTATGTGTTTGTATGTGTACAGAGGGTAGCCATGGTTACGTGGACAGACTGTATGTGTTTGTACGTGTGCAGGAGGTAGCCATGGTTACGTGTACAGACTGTGTATGTTTGTATGTGTAAAGAGGGTTCCCCCATGGTTATATGGACAGACTGTGTGTGTTTGTACGTGTACAGAGGGTAGCCATGGTTACGTGGAAAGACTCTGTGTGTGTGTGTGTTTGTATGTGTACAGAGGGTAGCCATGGTTACAGAGACAGCCTGTGTGTATTTGTACTTGTATTGGAGGTAGCCATGGTTACGTGGACATACTCTGTGTGTGTGTGTGTGTTTGTATGTGTACAGAAGGTAGCCATGGTTACAGAGATAGACTGTGTGTGTTTGTACGTGTACAGGAGGTAGCCATGGTTACGTGTACATACTCTGTGTGTGTGTGTGTGTTTGTATGTGTACAGAGGGAAGCCATGGTTACAGTGACAGACTGTGTGTGTTTGTACGTGTACAGAGGGCAGTCATGGTTACGTGGACAGACTGTGTATGTTTGTATGTGTACAGCTGGTAGCCATGGTTACGTTGACAGACTGTGTGTGGTTGTATGTGTAAAGAGGGTAGCCATGATTACGTGGACAGACTGTGTGTGTTGTATGTGTACAGGAGGTAGCCATGGTTACGTGGACAGACTGTGTATGTTTGAAAGTGTAAAGAGGGTACCGCAATGGTTATATGGACAGACTGTTTGTGTTTGCATGTTTAAAGAGGGTAGCCATGGTTACAGAGACAGAGACTGTGTGTGGTTGTACGTGTACAGAGGGTAGCCATGGTTACAGAGACAGACTGTGTGTGTTTGTATGTGTAAAGAGGGTATGTGTATACCTAGCAGTTCCTGTTTACCTGGTCTCACAGCAGCAGCGGTGGTCAGTTGTGTCTGTGTGGTGTCCCTCTTTCTGGTCCCACTTGAAGCTGATGTATAGAATGTATGTATTCTCTATATTATCGATCTGTATTATAGTCAGTGAGTCCTCGGGACATCTAAACTATTTCGAGTTATCCGTAATTAGAGTTTTACCGATCATGCCAATTCTGCTTGGGTGTGGAAATTGAACAATATTCATCTTCCCGAGGCTGAGGACTTAACGGACTGCACTAACGAGTCTGTGAATAGTCCTATCAAAATAGAACTGGACATCCGTCCGTGTGCAGATTTCGGTCGACTGAAGGATTTTTTTTTTTTTAAAAAGGGTTCCGTCAACTGGACGTCGGCAGATATTTTTCAAATCTTTACATGTTTTTAATCAAGATGTTCATGTGACTTGATGCACTTCACGAGGTAGGACCCTTTTTATTACAATAAAGATCTTGAATAGGCATTTTGTGAAGCAAATACAAATGATATGAGAGGTCGCATACGATTGGTCAATATATGGGACAAGAACGGACATAACTCTAAATAGCCACTGGTGGCGCTACGATCGAGCCACGAAATTCCAGCCTAGTTCGGAAATTGGACTTTCATAGTCAGTTAACGCCCTTGCCTCAGGAAGTTGAGCAGTAGTTTGAGCTGAGTTTAAGGTTTCACAAGAAATATATTAGATTTAGGGTTTATTAGATTTACTGACACACTAAGGAAACGCAATAACTATCGACCTCACATTTGTTTAAATCTTTCTGCATTTTCTATGGCAAATTGACAAAAGTGAGTTGATTGTACCCCATAGGCAAGGTCACCACACACCGTAACCACTCCCCCTCACCTCATCCCTTACCCTCGTATTTACTCGGCAGCTCCCCACTCCCCCGTCTTAATCTTCCCCTCATAGTCACAATGTACAACCCCGCTCCCCCATCCTAATCTGCCCCTCGTAGTCACAATGTACCACCCACTCCCCCGTCTCAATTTCCCCCTCATAGTCACAATGTACCACCCACGCCCCCGACTTAATCTGCCCCTCATAGTCACAATGTACCACCCACTCCCCCGTCTTAATCTGCCCCTCGTAGTCACAATGTACCACCCATTCCCCCGTCTTAATCTTCCCCTCATAGTCATAATGTACAACCCCGCTCCCCCGTCTTAATCTGCCCTTAATCTGCCCCTCGTAGTCACAATGTACCACCCACTCCCCCGTCTTAATCTTCCCCTTGTAGTCACAATGTACCACCCCATTCCCCCGTCTTAATCTTCCCCTCATAGTCACAATGTACAACCCCTCTCCCCCGTCTTAATCTTCCCCTCATAGTCACAACGTACCAGCCCTCGCCCCCGTCTTAATCTTCCCCTCGCAGTCACAACGTACCAACCCACGCCCCCGTCTTAATCTTCCCCTCGTAGTCACAACGTACCAACCAACGCCCCCGTCTTAATCGTCCTCTCATAGTCACAATGTACCACCCCAGTCCCCCGTCTTAATCTTCCCCTCGTAGTCACAACGTACCAACCCACGTCCCCGTCTTAATCTTCCCCTCGTAGTCACAACGTACCAACCAACGCCCCCGTCTTAATCTTCCTCTCATAGTCAAAATGTACCACCCCAGTCCCCCGTCTTAATCTGCCCCTCGTAGTCACAATGTACCACCCGCTCCCCCGTCTTAATCTTCCCCTTGTAGTCACAATGTACGACCCACGCCCCCGTCTTAATCTCCCCCTCGTAGTCACAACGTACCACCCCACTCCCCCGTCTTAATCTGCCCCTCGTAGTCACAATGTAGCACCCACTCCCCCGTCTTAATCTTCCCCTCGTAGTCACAATGTACAACCCACGCCCCCGTCTTAATCGTCCTCTCATAGTCACGATGTACAACCCCACGCCCCCGTCTTAATCTTCCCCTCGTAGTCACAATGTACCAACCCACTCCCCCGTCTTAATCTTCCCCTTGTAGTCACAATGTACCAACCCACTCCCCGTCTTAATCTTTCCCTCGTAATCACAATGTACCACCCAACTCCCCCGTCTTAATCTTCCTCTCGTAGTCACAATGTACAACCGACGCCCCCGTCTTAATCTTCCCCTCGTAGTCACAATGTACCACCCACTCCCCCGTCTTAATCTTCCCCTTGTAGTCACAATGTACCACCCCATTCCCCCGTCTTAATCTTCCCCTCATAGTCACAATGTACAACCCCGCTCCCCCGTCTTAATCTGCCCTTAACCTGCCCCTCGTAGTCACAATGTACCACCCACTCCCCCGTCTTAATCTTCCCCTTGTAGTCACAATGTACGACCCACGCCCCCGTCTTAATCTTCCCCTCATAGTCACAATGTAGCACCCACTCCCCCGTCTTAATCTTCCCCTCATAGTAACAATGTACCACCCATTCCCCCGTCATAATCTTCCCCTCATAGTCACAATGTACGACCCACGCCCCCGTCTTAATCTTCCCCTCATAGTCACAATGTACGACCCACGCCCCCGTCTTAATCTTCCCCTCATAGTCACAATGTACAACCCCGCTCCCCCGTCCTAATCTGCCCCTCGTAGTCACAATGTACCACCCACTCCCCCGTCTTAATCTTCCCCTCATAGTCACAATGTACCACCCACGCCCCCGTCTTAATCTGCCCCTCATAGTCACGATGTACAACCCCACGCCCCCGACTTAATCTGCCCCTCATAGTCACAATGTACCACCCACTCCCCCGTCTTAATCTTCCCCTTGTAGTCACAATGTACCACCCCATTCCCCCGTCTTAATCTTCCCCTCATAGTCACAATGTACAACCCCGCTCCCCCGTCTTAATCTGCCCTTAACCTGCCCCTCGTAGTCACAATGTACCACCCACTCCCCCGTCTTAATCTTCCCCTTGTAGTCACAATGTACGACCCACGCCCCCGTCTTAATCTTCCCCTCGTAGTCACAACGTACCACCCCACTCCCCCGTCTTAATCTTCCCCTCGTAGTCACAACGTACCAACCCACGCCCCCGTCTTAATCTTCCCCTCGTAGTCACAACGTACCACCCCACTCCCCCGTCTTTATCTTCCCCTCGTAGTCACAACGTACCAACCCACGCCCCCGTCTTAATCTTCCCCTTGTAGTCACAATGTACGACCCACGCCCCCGTCTTAATCTTCCCCTCGTAGTCACAACGTACCACCCCACTCCCCCGTCTTAATCTTCCCCTGGTAGTCACAACGTACCAACCCACGCCCCCGTCTTAATCTTCCCCTCGTAGTCACAACGTACCAACCCACGCCCCCGCCTTAATCTTCCCCTTGTAGTCACAACGTACCACCCAACTCCCCCGTCTTAATCTTCCCCTCGTAGTCACAACGTACCAACCCCCGCCCCCGTCTTAATCTTCCCCTCGTAGTCACAACGTACCAACCCACGCCCCCTCTTAATGTGCCCCTTGTAGTCACAATGTATCAGCCAAGCCCCCGTCTTAATCTTCCCCCCATATTCACAATGTACCACCCCACTCCCCCGTCTTGATCTTCCCCTCATAGTCACAATGTACAACCCCGCTCCCCCGTCTTAATCTGCCCCTCGTAGTCACAATGTACCACCCACTCCCCCGTCTTAATCTTCCCCTTGTAGTCACAATGTACAACCCCATTCCCCCGTCTTAATCTTCCCCTCATAGTCACAATGTACAACCCCTCTCCCCCGTCTTAATTCTCCCCTCATAGTCACAATGTACCACCCCACTCCCCCGTCTTAATCTTCCCCTCGTAGTCACAACGTAGCAAGCCACTCTCCCGTCTAAATCTTCCCCTCATAGTCACAATGTACCACCCACTCCCCCGTCTTAATCTTCCCCTCATAGTCACAACGTAGCAACCCACGCCCCCGTCTTAATCTTCCCCTCGTAGTCACAATGTACAACCCACGCCCCCGTCTTAATCTTCCCCTCGTAGTCACAATGTACCACCCTCTCCCCCGTCTTAATCTTCCCCTCATAGTCAAAACGTACCATCCCACGCCCCCGTCTTAATCTTCCCCTCGTAGTCACAACGTACCAACCCACGCCCCCGTCGTAATCTTCCCCTCGTAGTCACAACGTACCAACCCACGCCCCCGTCTAAATCTTCCCCTCATAGTCACAATGTACAACCGACGTCCCCGTCTTAATCTTCCCCTCATAGTCACAATGTACCACCCCACTCCCCCGTCTTAATCTGCCCCTCGTAGTCACAATGTACCACCCCGCTCCCCCGTCTTAATCTTCCCCTCGTAGTCACAATGTACCACCCACTCCCCCGTCTTAATCTTCCCCTCGTAGTCACAATGTACCACCCGCTCCCCCGTCTTAATCTTCCCCTCATAGTCACAATGTAGCACCCACTCCCCCGTCTTAATCTTCCCCTCATAGTAACAATGTACCACCCATTCCCCCGTCATAATCTTCCCCTCATAGTCACAATGTACGACCCACGCCCCCGTCTTAATCTTCCCCTCATAGTCACAATGTACGACCCACGCCCCCGTCTTAATCTTCCCCTCATAGTCACAATGTACAACCCCGCTCCCCCGTCCTAATCTGCCCCTCGTAGTCACAATGTACCACCCACTCCCCCGTCTTAATCTTCCCCTCGTAGTCACAATGTACCACCCACGCCCCCGTCTTAATCTTCCCCTCATAGTCACAATGTACCACCCACGCCCCCGTCTTAATCTGCCCCTCATAGTCACGATGTACAACCCCACGCCCCCGACTTAATCTGCCCCTCATAGTCACAATGTACCACCCACTCCCCCGTCTTAATCTTCCCCTTGTAGTCACAATGTACCACCCCATTCCCCCGTCTTAATCTTCCCCTCATAGTCACAATGTACAACCCCGCTCCCCCGTCTTAATCTGCCCTTAACCTGCCCCTCGTAGTCACAATGTACCACCCACTCCCCCGTCTTAATCTTCCCCTTGTAGTCACAATGTACGACCCACGCCCCCGTCTTAATCTTCCCCTCATAGTCACAATGTAGCACCCACTCCCCCGTCTTAATCTTCCCCTCATAGTAACAATGTACCACCCATTCCCCCGTCATAATCTTCCCCTCATAGTCACAATGTACGACCCACGCCCCCGTCTTAATCTTCCCCTCATAGTCACAATGTACGACCCACGCCCCCGTCTTAATCTTCCCCTCATAGTCACAATGTACAACCCCGCTCCCCCGTCCTAATCTGCCCCTCGTAGTCACAATGTACCACCCACTCCCCCGTCTTAATCTTCCCCTCATAGTCACAATGTACCACCCACGCCCCCGTCTTAATCTGCCCCTCATAGTCACGATGTACAACCCCACGCCCCCGACTTAATCTGCCCCTCATAGTCACAATGTACCACCCACTCCCCCGTCTTAATCTTCCCCTTGTAGTCACAATGTACCACCCCATTCCCCCGTCTTAATCTTCCCCTCATAGTCACAATGTACAACCCCGCTCCCCCGTCTTAATCTGCCCTTAACCTGCCCCTCGTAGTCACAATGTACCACCCACTCCCCCGTCTTAATCTTCCCCTTGTAGTCACAATGTACGACCCACGCCCCCGTCTTAATCTTCCCCTCGTAGTCACAACGTACCACCCCACTCCCCCGTCTTAATCTTCCCCTCGTAGTCACAACGTACCAACCCACGCCCCCGTCTTAATCTTCCCCTCGTAGTCACAACGTACCACCCCACTCCCCCGTCTTTATCTTCCCCTCGTAGTCACAACGTACCAACCCACGCCCCCGTCTTAATCTTCCCCTTGTAGTCACAATGTACGACCCACGCCCCCGTCTTAATCTTCCCCTCGTAGTCACAACGTACCACCCCACTCCCCCGTCTTAATCTTCCCCTGGTAGTCACAACGTACCAACCCACGCCCCCGTCTTAATCTTCCCCTCGTAGTCACAACGTACCAACCCACGCCCCCGCCTTAATCTTCCCCTTGTAGTCACAACGTACCACCCAACTCCCCCGTCTTAATCTTCCCCTCGTAGTCACAACGTACCAACCCCCGCCCCCGTCTTAATCTTCCCCTCGTAGTCACAACGTACCAACCCACGCCCCCTCTTAATGTGCCCCTTGTAGTCACAATGTATCAGCCAAGCCCCCGTCTTAATCTTCCCCCCATATTCACAATGTACCACCCCACTCCCCCGTCTTGATCTTCCCCTCATAGTCACAATGTACAACCCCGCTCCCCCGTCTTAATCTGCCCCTCGTAGTCACAATGTACCACCCACTCCCCCGTCTTAATCTTCCCCTTGTAGTCACAATGTACAACCCCATTCCCCCGTCTTAATCTTCCCCTCATAGTCACAATGTACAACCCCTCTCCCCCGTCTTAATTCTCCCCTCATAGTCACAATGTACCACCCCACTCCCCCGTCTTAATCTTCCCCTCGTAGTCACAACGTAGCAAGCCACTCTCCCGTCTAAATCTTCCCCTCATAGTCACAATGTACCACCCACTCCCCCGTCTTAATCTTCCCCTCATAGTCACAACGTAGCAACCCACGCCCCCGTCTTAATCTTCCCCTCGTAGTCACAATGTACAACCCACGCCCCCGTCTTAATCTTCCCCTCGTAGTCACAATGTACCACCCTCTCCCCCGTCTTAATCTTCCCCTCATAGTCAAAACGTACCATCCCACGCCCCCGTCTTAATCTTCCCCTCGTAGTCACAACGTACCAACCCACGCCCCCGTCGTAATCTTCCCCTCGTAGTCACAACGTACCAACCCACGCCCCCGTCTTAATCTTCCCCTCATAGTCACAATGTACAACCGACGCCCCCGTCTTAATCTTCCCCTCATAGTCATTATGTACCACCCCACTCCCCCGTCTTAATCTGCCCCTCGTAGTCACAATGTACCACCCCGCTCCCCCGTCTTAATCTTCCCCTCGTAGTCACAATGTACCACCCACTCCCCCGTCTTTATCTTCCCCTCGTAGTCACAATGTACCACCCCACTCCCCTTTCTTAATCTTCCCCTCATAGTCATTATGTACCACCCCACTCCCCCGTCTTAATCTTCCCCTCGTAGTCACAATGTACCACCCCACTCCCCCGTCTTAATCCGCCCCTCGTATTCACAATGTACCACCCAAAACCCACGTCTTAATCTACCCTTCGTAGTCACAATGTACCACCCAGCTCCAACCAGATGAGCCGACTGTATACCAACATACAGCCCTATCCCCTACTCCCGTTTTCCCTTCTTACCCCGCCTTACCGTCAGTCATACCTTGCTGCCTCTCTCTCTCTCCCCCAACACACACACACACACACACTCCTGCCGGTGTCAGTCTTACCTTCATAATCACACCGTAGCCCCTCCCATCCAGGGGTACACCCCATTAGGCAGAAGCCTGTCTCAGCGTCGCACGCAATATCATCCAGACAGTGACCACATTTAGCCGAGCAGTTAGTGCCGTAAGAACCATCGGCACATTCTGAAAATAATACATAGACATGAGTATATAAATCTCACGAATGTTGCAAGGAGGGCAGAGCGAATTGCGCCGAGGAGTCCAAGATTCATTTGTATAAAATTAGTAATAGAACGTAAAATCATAAAAAAGAAATTAAGAAAAAAAACTAGGTTCACAGGTGTTCATGTGGACGATACACTATGTCGATACACACATACCCGTAGCCCTACTAGGATCCGTTAGTCGATTCCAGGTTTGATCGGATTACGATCCATGGATGTGATACATACCAAGTTGATCATACTCACCAAACTCACCATTACCCCCCCCCCCCCCCCCCCTACACACACACACACCCTTCACCTACCGTGTTCACACTTGTCTCCCTTGGTCCCTGGGTAGCAGCCGTCCTTACACAGCCCCGTCACCCTGTCACACGGCTCCTCGTTCTTGCACCACCCACACTCCTCCTTGCAGCTGGCGCCGTACGTCCCCGCCGTGCACTCTGCACATCAACATCACACTGGGTCAGTGGGGACATCGGAAGTGTGGAGTTGGTCTGCTAAAGCGTTACGCTACGCTTGCATCGCTAATCATGCGTGATAAGCACAAACTGATCAACATTAATCTGGCAAAATATTATGGCTTCGAGACTAGTATTATCCGAGATTTCAAGAAATTGACCAATAACAAAGTGTTTTATGATAAATGCACCCCTACTATATAATGTGGGCATGTATTTGGGCCAGGCACACCAATGACAGCACGAATAACGATGCACGCCGGCACGGTGCCACTCAGTCAAACAATCAGTGATTGTAGACAGAGGTTACTCATCAGTCTTACAACAAGCATAGCTCTATTCCAAATGCTGAAACAAATTATCGGTCATTTCAGTTGGCATGGCACAGCATCGATCTGTGACCTTGATCTACCTGCATTACAGTTACAGCCGGTCCAGCCAGGGGCACATTCTCCAGGACACCGACCTGTGACCTTGACCTACCTGCATCACAGTTACAGCCAGTCCATCCAAGAACATTCTAGGTGTCACCAACCTTCGCCCTTTGACCTTGACCTACCTGCATTACAGTTACAGACGGTCCAGCCAGGGGCACATTCTCAAGGACACCGACCTGTGACCTTGATCTACCTGCATCACAGTTACAGCCGGTCCAGCCAGGGGCACATTCTCAAGGACACCGACCTGTGACCTGCGACCTTGACCTACCTACATTACACTTACAGCAAGTCCAGCCAGGGGCACATTCTCCAGGACACCGACCTGTGACCTTGACCTACCAGCATCGCAGTTACAGCCGGTCCAGCCAGGGGCACATTCTCCAGGACACCGACCTGTGACCTTGACCTACCTGCATCACAGTTACAGCCAGTCCAGCCAAGGGCACATTCTCCAGGACACCGACCTGTGACCCTATCACATGGCTCTCCATCCTGACACTGACCGCACTCCAGCTTGCAGTACATTCCCCACGTGCCATCTCTACATTCTTGAAAGAAAAGACATTGGTTTAGTTGGACGAGCGTTGAATGGATTCAACAATGATTTTATAATTTGTTTGTCGTTTAACGCCACGCTCAGCAATAGTCTAGACCAGACAAATCTGTGATTGATATACAGAGCAACGTCAAACGCCAACCGGGAACGATGACACGTTATCAACAAAGTCGCCGACCCTGCCCACCCATTCCATGTGGACAAGCACAGACCGATTCTACCCCACAATCCCCACGGAGTATGGGGATGCCTGCCATTATTTTAATGGTGACTCGGGTACTAGGTAACAGGCCAGTAACAGGCCAGTAGAGTACACAATGGGTCCCGTTTCAGTAGCACGCGTTATTGGACAACAAAGACCAAATAATTGTGTAAAACGATGGCACTGTGTCTAGTGATCAATTAGTACTTCCAGAAATAGAGAAATTGGATCTCCCCCGTTTGCTCCAACCGTTGTTAAGACATATTGAAGTTTACACTTCTTGTATTTGCAAAAAGTAACTTCCCAATTATTCTTTCAGCATAGTTCAGTCCCTACCCATGGGCGTTGGTCATAAAATAATCCTAAGGTTCAAACTGAAAAGTGACCTTCTCCGACAGAGTTATTCAGGCCCACGACAGATCTGATAGAGACAATGGCCGTACCTTCGTCACAGCGTGTTCCGGTCCAACCATCAGTACAACCGGAAGTGCAGATTCCTGTCGTCACGTGACACAGTGCATCATCCTTGCAATGGCCGCACTCCACACATCCCAGACCATAGGTTCCATGAGGACAAGCTGGACACGGGTGAGTATATTAAAGAATTCACTTCAATATATTAGCTATGCGAACATACACAATATGCACACCGGTTTTATACCTCCATAAACGCAAAAGTATATACTTAATACGTATAATTAATACCTCGACAATTACTTCACACTCTGTTTATTTAAATCATTAACAGAAAAACACATGAAGACAAAGATACGATATAAGTATAAGCCCCGCCCACTCTATTATCAGCTAATCAGGAAAGTGTATTCCAGTAGTGGGCAGGGCCTATTATTGTAATTTTAGGTTTATGGAAATATAAACGCAAAACACTGCCTGGTTAGCCAATCAATGACATAGAATGACTATTACACCGTTTAATAGTTCTGGGGACTTTCGATAATATATGGAATAGACCGTAGTTCGAGACAATGCGGATATGTACACTGCCAGGGCCAGAACGTCATATTGTGTTGACGTTATATCGTCTTACGTTTATGGAAGTATAATCACGGCTACGTGTATTTGAATCTCTCTCACAAGAAAATGGACGGCAAAAGACGCGAACCAACTCTGGAATCACTGTGAAATGGATGGTCATGTCATGCCCTTCTTACCCCTGTCACATCGGTAGCCCGACCACCCAGGGTTACAGTCGGTGTTGGGGGGACAGATGCCATTCACTTGGTCGCAGGCGGTGTTGTTTCCGCAGTGTCCGCAGGTGAGGCTGCAGTTGGCGCCATACGATCCCGGCGTGCACTCTGAGGAGTTAAGTTAGGCAATGAACCACAACTATATTCACCGATTAGAGATTTGCAACCAGTCATTGTATCTCGATTACCGTATCCACTCACTCGTTTATCGATTTTAAATAAATATATATTTTAAAACTGTACACTAACTTCTTCTTTAATGACTTTTAGAAATGCACACTATATTACATTGAAAGTGAGCTTTGAATAAAGATTCCAGATCGTAAAAAACGCAGTTACGACTTTTCGAAAACAAGATGGCGGCTTCCACGGAACCAGTGAGTGAGTGAGTGAGTTAGGTTTAACGCCGCTTTTAACAGTATTCCAGTTATATCGCGGCGTGTCACCTTAATGTGGGAGTAAAGCCCGAAGTGATGCAGGTCTCAGACGTTTACCACTTCGGTGAAACCCACGAGCACGGGTATGGTGCTGACAAACCTAGAAACATAATCGGGGCGAACCGGGATTCGAACCCACATTCATAGGTTTCTGGCGTGCCCAAGGAACGCAACTCTGCACAGCGAATCGCGGCGCTTTAGACGACTGGGCCACCCGTTCCCCCTTCCATGGAACCACTGCCCGTTAACTTTTAATGAAATGAAGCATGAAAGTATGAGGTTTGTTCATAACTTTAAAAAAAATGACATTCCACGTTATCATCGTGATTTTACCTTTATCACATTTCTCCCCCATCCACCCAAGGTCACATCCAGTCTCGCACTTTCCCGTTTCTCTGTGGCAACTCTCGCCAAGGCTACAGTGGCCGCACTTCTGACATCCGACACCGTGTGTGGAGTTGGGACAGACTGAAACAGTGCAAAGAGTTGGCATCAACTTCACGGTGACGTCATAGAAGTATCGCCTAAATTGAGAGCAAAAGGTAGAATAAGTAACACAATACGTTCAAGTGGACATTGTCCCCTAAAAACTTGTGCTGGTTGAATTATGATATGGATCGTGGTCAGGCAGGGTTACCCTAGCTGAACGCATGTCATCGGACCAGACTGCTTGGGGCGTTGCTCATAATATCATCCACCAGTTTACTGGTCGAGATTATATACAGGCCGCACTGCTATAGCTGGCATATTGCTGACTGCGGAGTTAACCAACACTCACTCACTCGTTCTACATACACTCGTCGCAGTGATCCCCTGTCCATCCTGGCTCACACAACCCCGGACAGTGTCCGGTGACACGATTGCATTGGGCCTTGTTCTTACAGTGACCACACTTTTGGCAGCGAGACCCGTAGGTCCCTTTTTTGCAGGCTGAAACAGCAGAAAGATGACATACACATATATATCTGAATACAGCAATAATGTAGGTTACCGTCCTCGATAGAAAAGTTAAGCTACAGATAATGTTTAACCTAGATAGTCTAGACGGAAGTGTTCATTGAGAAATCCTCCAGATTAGTGAATGTCCGTATTAGAGAATCACAGATAAATAGATGGGTCAGTTCATATTGTTCTACACTGGTGAGTATGGTTTTACGCCGCTTTTAGCAATATCACAGCAATACCATGGCGGGGGAACCAGAAATTGGTTTCACACATTGTGCCCATGTGGGGAATCTAACCCGGGCCTTCAGCGTGACGAGCGAACGCTTTAACCATTAGGCTACCCCATCGCCCCCTGTTCCAAACTAAGGCAGGTTTCCCTAGTAAAGGGATTCAGATTTAAGTTTATTGAAGTGTGCATAACGGTCAGGTCATCCTCGATTATCCAGTGTATCTATATTCTATTATGATAAATACACTAGACCCATTCGTTTTCAGCCCGATTCGTAAGTCTCAATACAATGACATGCAGATGAACATGGTGATGTCACTCATGAAACGAAGTTGTGGTGGCGAATGGGTCTAGGGTATTAACTGAGATATAATACCCTGGATAACTGCTACTTATCCATCATGTTGGCTGCTGACCTCTCTTGCACCTGATGCCTGTCCAGCCGGGCTTGCATCCCTTCTTGCACCGCCCGTAGTCAGGGTCACAGTCCCCGGGGCATGCGCACTGGCCGCAGCGTAGGTAGCATCGTGAACCATAACGACCCGGTGGGCAGTCTGGAATGACAGTGTTATTTATTTGTCATTGAATATGATCGCAACATATACATGACTATTCTGTTCAATATACTTCGGAGATGTTTATAGCCGATCGATAGTTTTATATGGCAGAGTAATCTATTATGTTAACTGTATTACATTGTTTCTGTTGAGATTCAGTAGAAGTTCATTGCATTATATATTAACAATGATTAGTTGTTAGGAATGGTGTACTATTTAATGTAAGCAGTTGTGCGGAAGTTCCTATCTACAGATGCTCGAATCATCTGTAAACTTCAGGAAAAGCATGGAGGGATGTCACGCGTTGAGGAAACATGTGGAATATTCTGTGATGTTCTAGTGACACTGGACTGATTTAGCACTGTGTGGAAAGTTGTGGAAGCTAGTTAGACTATATAAGTGGAGCGAGCGCGTGCCTGTCTCATCTCGTATTTCATCTGACGTTAAATCAAGACCAGCTTTCGCGTGAAGTTCACTTTTCACTTGATTATTATTCTTGTCATTGTCATTTCCACTGCTCTCTCATTTTATACTGCCATTAAATATTAGTTTACCACTCTACTGTGTACTGTCATTGTAATTGCTGTGCAGTAATTTGTATTGATTTGTTAACATAGTTTTATTTTGTAATACAATTGCTGATTGTATACCATTTGTTTGTTGGTTTCACACTAAATTCTTTTACGTACGAATTTCTGGATTAAAATATTGGAATCGACTCGTAACAATACGCATCTTGTCCTGTTGTCGATAATGAGGAACGCTAATGAGTGGGGATTTAAACAAGTGAAGAGTTAAATGGCAAAGTTAGACTGAGCTGTTTTGAGCATTGGTGTTTCCGGTGTGAAGACGAATTACTACTGTCGACGTCACAGACATCCCACAACGCACTAGTGCTGCCATTCCATTGGAGGGGGTGGTGTGTGTGTATGTGCGCGTGTACGTTCGTGTGTGCATGTGGGGTGAAAGGAGCGGGGGTGTTGTTTCTCAGACTACTCACCTCTGTCACGTGTGTGAACGTGTGTGTGAACGTGTGAGTGTGTGTGTGTGTGTGTGTGTGTGTGTGTGTGTGTGTGTGTGTGTGTGTGTGTGTGTGTGTGTGTGTGTGTGTGTGTGTGCGTGCGTGTGTGTCCTAGAAACCTGTGATTGTGGGTTCCAAATCGAATCCGGTGCGCCCGTATTATGTTGCTGGGTTTGTCAGCATGTGCTCGTCGGGTTCACAAAAGCGGTACACGTTTACAAACCTGCATATTTTCCGTGCTTTCCTCTCGTATTTAATTGACACGCTGTGATGTTACAGAAATAGATTCCAGGCAAAACCCAAATCACTCACTCACTCAACAACTCTTACCTTTCCTGACCTGCCAGTCCCCCGAGTGGCCATGGGACATGGCCTGTATATAGTTAATGGTGAACTTGTTGCTGCCCCGGTAGGTCATGAGCTTGTTCCTGTTTGGTTTGCTCCCGCTGCCAATCTGTATCAAACCCTTGTCATCCCAGGACAACCAGAACACCTTGTAGAAGGAACAAAACATCATTCGGATGGAGCTGGACGCCTTGGCCGTGCAGGTCAAGCAGCCTTCCAAGATGGACGACAGACGTGGCTTCTCGGTCCGGTCGAGCATGACCACATAGTAGTTCTTGGTCTTCTGGTAGAGGACAGTCTCTGTGAGGATGAGATAGGCCTTGGCGCAGGTCTTGATCTTCAACACCATGGAGTGTGCGCCCGTGATCTTCACCCCAACGTCGTTGATGTACTTGACGTGTTTCCCCGACGTGTTGAAGGACACGTAGTTGTCTTGAAATGTTGGAGGGACATTAGTGTTGTGTCATATACATACAACTCAGTGTTCATTAGGGTTTTGCCTATACACAGAAGCCACCAGGACTCGGTGTTCATTAGAGTCTCGCCTATACACAGGAGCCACCAGGACTCGGTGTTCATTAGGGTCTCGCCTAGCCTATACATAGGAGCAACCAGGACTCGGTTTTCATTGGGGTCTCGCCTAGCCTATACATAGGAGCAACCAGGACTCGGTGTTCATTAGAGTCTCGCCTATACACAGGAGCCACCAGGACTCGGTGTTCATTAGGGTCTCACCTATACACAGGAGCCACCAGGACTCGGTGTTCATTAGAGTCACCTATATGCAGGAGCCACCAGGACTCGGTGTTCATTGGGGTCACGCCTAGCCTATACACAGGAGCCACCAGGACTCGGTGTTCATTGGGGTCTCGCCTAGCCTATACACATGAGCAGCCAGGACTCGGTGTTCATTAGGGTCTCGCCTAGCCCATACACAGGAGCCACCAGGACTCGGTGTTCAGTGGGGTCACGCCTAGCCTATACACAGCAGCCACCAGGACTCGGTGACTATTGGGGTCTCGCCTAGCCTATACACAGGAGCCACCAGGACTCGGTGTTCATTGGGGTCACGCCTAGCCCATACACAGGAGCCACCAGGATTCGGTGTTCATTGGGGTCTCGCCTAGCCTATACACAGGAGCAGCCAGGACTCGGTGTTCATTAGGGTCTCACCTATACACAGGAGCCACCAGGACTCGGTGTTCATTAGGGTCTCGCCTAGCCCATACACAGGAGCCACCAGGATTCGGTGTTCATTGGGGTCTCGCCTAGCCTATACACAGGAGCCACCAGGACTCGGTGTTCATTAGGGTCTCGCCTAGCCCATACACAGGAGCCACCAGGACTCGGTGTTCATTGGGGTCTCGCCTAGCCCATACACAGGAGCCACCAGGATTCGGTGTTCATTGGGATCTCGCCTAGCCTATACACAGGAGCCACCAGGACTCGTTGTCCATTGGGGTCTCGCCTAGCCCATACACAGGAGCCACCAGGACTCGGTGTTCATTAGGGTCTCGCCTATGTGCAGGAGCCACCAGGACTCGGTGTTCACAGGGGTCTCTCCTATATACAGGAGCCATCAGGACTCGGTGCGACTCTATTTGTGAAAGTCGTGAGCAAAACTCAGAAAATCTTTAATTAATAACTATATTAAAACAAAGATATTGCATATTAGAACATTCTACCGACGAAAATGAAAATATTTAGGGAAAAATAATCAAGCCTCGACCAGACACTCTAGTGATTGACATCATGAGCATGAATGAGTGTTACTTTTACATATACATTTAAAGCTCGGTTACTCGAACTCAATTAAACTCAATTGTCCATTGAAATGTAAATACAGGTACAGGAGATTGTCCATTCTTGACGCGCCGCTTGTCTGGAACCATTATTTCAAGCGAGTATCAACTTATCTGGTCCTTGAAACCAGCAGGCATGTGATTGACGTACCGCGAAGGTATAAAGTGCCAAGATGAACGTGAACTGTGATGTTCCGATTCTGTTTAAAACGTCTTTTCAATACATCTATCATCATTGGTTAATATATCAAATGACGTAGTTTTGTTGGACAATGAAGAGCCCAAAGTACAATACTACACTGCAGAGGTTTAACCGATCTGGCAGCTAGGAGCGTATATATTTCTTCATAAATACAAACAATACATATCTTAATTTTTTTGGGTATCAAATTACTGTTAACAAAAATCAATATTAAGTAACTCAAAAAATGTTTTTTTTAAAACGGTAACTTGGTAATATAGCGCTACAACCTTGACGTAGAATGAGCTTACTGAGATTAACCAGCCTTGACCTACATTACGTTGACGCTGTAGTGAAGTTGTTTTGCTCAGTAATGGAAGGTATTGCTCCCATATTCTAAGGAATGAGGTTTGGGACAAAACAGTCGATTTAATTATGTTTTGAAAGACATTGACTTGATTTAATCTAAGGTTTTTGGACAGTGAATAAAAGGCTGCTGCTGTGAGTCAACTACGAGGCTGGATACACTGGATCATCAAAGATGGATACAACCGTGGATTAGATGCTCATGATGTCAATCACTGGTTTGTCTGGTCCAGACTCTATTATGTACAGACCGCCGTCAATATACAGGAATATTGCGGAGTGTGGCGTTAAACAAACAAACAAACAAACAAACGCGAAGCCTTGTTCTTGTTCACATATATATACAGTCGTGCCTCGTTTATACGGACACTTGCGTCATTTCACAATTCGTCCGTATAAACGAATTTCGGTATAACTGAAACCAGCTTCTTACTGGAAGAGTTACTTCCCTTCAATTATACAACTCATGACAGATGACAGAGCAAACAGATACATCCACTCAATCTTCATTCAAGACATACACGTTTCAAAAAATCTGTCATGGAAGTTTGAACTTTACCACATATTTCCTGTCTAATGTGAAATAACGCTCCCGTCATGGTTTATTCTCCATGCAGTGTTTTATTTGCGATGCGCCCCTCATGGTTTATTGTGCGGTTAACAACTGCCACTTGTCGTTTATTTCTTAAATAACAAATACCTTGAACCCATTCGCTACCATAGTTTCGAGTCGGAAGTGACGCCAGCAATTTGAAATAAGGGCTTGTTTTACAGCCGTGTAATTCGAAATTGTCTCAGAATGGTACAATTGTAGGGAGTCCAGGGTATTTATCAAAGTAGAACGTAGATAAAACACACTGGATAATCGAGGCTGACCAGTGTTTGACGGTATGAAGAACTATTGATGCCGTTAGATGCGATGACGCACTCTGACGTCGTGGCCACCTGATCCCCTTGTCACTATTACTGCCTTGAGGTTTCGTTCAAAACAAAACAAATTCTCTCACATTAAAATGTTTACATTTATTATGAGTGATTCCACATTGAAAGTCACGAGGGCAGTATGTCAACCATAGTGTGACTAAACTTTAAGAAATGTGTCTCTGTTCACCCAGCAGTCAATGGGTACCCGGTAGCTTGGGTTATATACTGCCCAGGGAGCTGAGAATGAAAATGGAGTTCACACAGATCCATTACCCGGGGTAATAATGTAGCGCTTAGTGCACGCTATAGGGCATGGATTTCACGCGTCATATAATTCCACATTATCATATTAATTCCTGCTTTAACCTGCAACTATATTTATTAATCCGAAACCAAACCAACTTGATTTGTGTCATTTGTTTTGGAAGAATGGAGACTCTGAGAACCTCACATACTTACATGCATCACTGTAGGAGACTTGAGACAACACTAGGATCAGTATCAGTGCAATGGACGTTGGGGAGAAAATCTGTCGACCAACATCCATGACTATCGGCAAACTGGTGGGAACAATGTATTCATTTACCGTTACACCATTCACCATCAGGAATATTCAGTCGCCGAATTAGAGAGAAATATCAGCCACAATCTGTCTCATAAACACGATAGAAAGTTTACAGTAAGCTTTAATTAACGGCTGAGTATACATATTACTAGCAGGCCGGGTGCAAACAAACCGGTGTTTATAGGAAACTGGTTTGTGCAGACGGACTATTGCGTTTTACATATGCTGCAGTCTGGATAGTTGTACTCACACACGCTTAGTTATCAACATGATAATTATCTATACAGTCAGCTGGATTATCGCGTTGTCTTCCACATGTACAACACTGTACGAGCCAAAATAAATGGACGATTTTCAAATTAAACATCAGTGAATTAATAAGTGTACAAGTCTACTTATGGTCCCGTATTAAAACACAGAGCATTACCGCACAAGATACAGAGGTGTCCGTGATGGATCGTTGAACGTGCGTCCATGTAATCGTAATACTATCAGTGTTTGTCTTACAGGCTGCTCAGTGTCATTAATTAAATAATGAAGAGTTCACTTACTGTTTGAGACAAGGTCGACCTCGCCAAGACCTCGCACATCTATCAACGATACAACAAGAAGTGAGCCTACACGACAGTCTGGGACCACCTTGGATGTCGTGATCAATTAACAGCTGATGGAAAATGTCAACGTAAAATATGCATAGGCATATAAGCAAGAATCACGAGTAACGGATACCCACATGTGTTAGTTCCAACAAAGAACGCTATTTCTTAATTATACCATATACAACCATTTTTGTCGAACTATTTGAAAATTCTCATTAAAGAAGTTATTACTATCAAGTAAGTTTTCTTTGTGAAATTCGCCGTTACACATACAGCTCACGAAATGCTGATTTCCTGAGCGATAAACTAAAGGCATTGTTTCGCTGAACACGGCTTTGGAGCTATGCCAATACTTTCGACGTAAAACCTCTCACATGTTACATTCTAAACAAAGGCAAGCCTTTCGTTAACGCAAAGTGGAAAGAATATTAGAAAAGGTTGATTTTATTACCTATGTTTATTTTACATTCATAACAGAGTCAAGGTTGGTGTTTCATTATTTGTCCTATTCTACGCAATGTCACACAAGGCATTGGATACACTTATAATAATAATTATCTATCTCACATCCTAAATGGTACCCATTCTCTGCTGGGTAAACAGAGGCACATTTAATTACACCTAGATTCCATTTTGTACATAAACACTGATTGGTGTTCAATTCAGACATAGGTACAAGTGGCGGTTTTCAAAACGTTGTTCAAAACGCTGATGTCGGATAAAACACTTAATTCCTTTACGTTTTGCGAGCATCTCTCCCTAAAACATATATAAATAGTGAAAGCGTCGACATGCTCATAGAGATTTCCAAAACTAAACCACCGTATCAGTGTAATAATTTCAACAGAAGTTGTGGAGCAATATCTAAACCAACACAATCTTGTATCAATTTAAGGTTAGAAATACCTGTTTGTGATATGACCGCTTTGTGGGATAGGACCTGTCACCCGTGCCGCAAGGGTCATCTTGCTACTTTGCAACATACAAAATAATGGAATGAATGCCCAACATTACCTTCATTGGTACAGTGTGAATGAGTGAGTGAGTGAGTGCGTGCGTGAGTGAGTGCGTGCGTGCGTGCGTGCGTGCGTGCGTGCGTGAGTGAGTGAGTGAGTGAGTGAGTGAGTGAGTGAGTTTGGGTTTTAAGGTTACACCACGGCGTGTCAGCTTGATGTGAGAGAAAAGCTGGAATTGCAGGTCTCAGACGTCTACCACTTTGGTAAACACACGAGCACGGGTATGGTGCTGAAACATAATCAAGGTGAATCTGGGATTTGAACCCGCGATTATATTCTTCAAAGGGACGCAACTCTGCACAGTGGCTTACGAAGCCTAAGACGACAAGGCCACCAGTGACCCTGTAAAATACCCTGGAATGTAAGCTATAAGATAGAATACACATTTGAAATGGGGGTATATGTCGACAGCCTGTGAATAGTCACGTCGGGGCTAAACATGAAGGCAGTTGGGATAGACCCCATCAGGTAACCATGTCACAGTGAGTGAGTGCGTGAATTTTGTTTAACGCTGCTTTTAGCAATATTCCAGCAATATCATGGCGGGGGACACCAGAAATGGGCTTCACACATTGTATACCCATGTGGGGTATCGAACCCGGGCTTTCGTGGTGACAGCGAACGCTTCAACCACTAGGCTACCCAACCATGGCACAATCAGCAATGTCACGCGTTTTATATTGTTTGTTTGTTTGTTGTTTACGCCGTACTCAGCAATAGTCCAGCTATATGACGACGGTCTAATAATAATCGAGTCTGGACCAGACAATCCAGTGAATGACATCATGAGCAAGTCAGCGAGCCTGACCACCCGATCCCGTTAGTCGCCTCTTAAGACAAGCATGGTCGCCTTTAACTCACTGACTGAGCTTCTTCTGAAGTAGGGGAAGCAACTGACACGATAGTAAGAACACCAATACTACTACTACTACTACTACTACTACTACTACTACTACTACTAAATACTTAATACCAGGGAATGCTCGAAGCGTGGACACCCTTGTCATGTATGTGAGATATACAACCAGGGAGAGAGTGGACACCCTTGTCATGTATGAGATATACAACCAGGGAGAGAGTGGACACCCTTGTCATGTATGTGAGATATACAACCAGGGAGAGAGTGGACACCCTTGTCATGTAGGTGAGATATACAACCAGGGAGAGAGTGGACATCCTTGTCATGTAGGTGAGATATACAACCAGGGAGAGAGTGGACACCCTTGTCATGTAGGTGAGATATACAACCAAGGAGAGAGTGGGCACCCTTGTCATGTATGAGATATACAACCAGGGAGAGAGTGGACACCCTTGTCATGTATGTGAGATATACAACCAGGTAGAGAGTGGACACCCTTGTCATGTAGGTGAGATATACAACCAGGGAGAGTGTGGACACCCCTGTCATGTAGGTGAGATATAAAACGAGGGAGAGAGTGGACACCCTTGTCATGTATGTGAGATATCCAACCAGGGAGAGAGTGGACACCCTTGTCATGTATGTGAGATATACAACCAGGGAGACAGTGGACACCCTTGTCATGTATGAGATATACAACCAGGGAGAGAGTGGACACCCTTGTCATGTAGGTGAGATATACAACCAGGGAGAGAGTGGACACCCTTGTCATGTATGTGAGCTATACAACCAGGGAGAGAGTGGACACCCTTGTCATGTATGTGAGATATCCAACCAGGGAGAGAGTGGACACCCTTGTCTTGTCATGTAGGTGAGATATACAACCAGGGAGAGAGCGGACACACTTGTCATGTAGGTGAGATATACAACCAGGGAGAGAGTGGACACCCTTGTCTTGTATGTGAGATATACAACCAAGGAGAGTGGACACCCTTGTCATGTATGAGATATACAACCAGGGAGAGAGTGGACGCCCTTGTCATGAATGTGAGATATACAACCAGGGAGAGAGTGGACACCCTTGTCATGTATGAGATATACAACCAGGGAGAGAGTGGACACCCTTGTCATGTATGTGAGATATACAACCAGGGAGAGAGTGGACACCCCTGTCATTTATGTGAGATATACAACCAGGGAGAGAGTGGACACCCTTGTCTTGTCATGTAGGTGAGATATACAACCAGGGAGAGAGTGGACACCCTTGTCTTGTCATGTAGGTGAGATATACAACCAGGGAGAGAGTGGACACCCTTGTCTTGTCATGTAGGTGAGATATGCAACCAGGGAAAGAGTGGACACCCTTGTCTTGTCATGTAGGTGAGATATACAACCAGGGAGAGAGTGGACACCCTCATCATGTATGTAAGATATACAACCAGGGAGAGAGTGGACACCCTTGTCATGTAGGTGAGATATACAACCAGGGAGAGAGTGGACACCCTTGTCATGTATGTGAGATATCAAACCAGGGAGAGAGAGGACACACTTGTCATGTATGTGAGATATACAACCAGGGAGAGAGTGGACACCCTTGTCTTGTCATGTAGGTGAGATATACAACCAGGGAGAGAGTGGACACCCTTGTCTTGTCATGTAGGTGAGATATACAACCAGGGAGAGAGTGGACACCCTTGTCTTGTCATGTAGGTGAGATATACAACCAGGGAGAGTGGACACCCTTGTCTTGTCATGTAGTTGAGATATACAACCAGGGAGAGAGTGGACACCCTTGTCTTGTCATGTAGGTGAGATATACAACCAGGGAGAGAGTGGACACCCTTGTCTTGTCATGTATGTGAGATATACAACCAGGGAGAGAGTGGACCCCCTTGTCTTGTCATGTAGGTGAGATATACAACCAGGGAGAGAGTGGACACCCTTGTCTTGTCATGTAGGTGAGATATACAACCAGGGAGAGAGTGGACACCCTTGTCTTGTATGAGATATACAACCAGGGAGAGAGTGGACACCCTTGTCATGTATGTGAGATATACAACCAGGGAGAGAGTGGACACCCTTGTCATGTAGGTGAGATATACAACCAGGGAGAGAGTGGACACCCTTGTCATGTATGTGAGATATACAAACAGGGAGAGAGTGGACACCCTTGTCATGTATGTGAGATATACAAACAGGGAGAGAGTGGACACCCTTGTCTTGTCATGTGAGATATACAAACAGGGAGAGAGTGGACACCTTGTCTTGTCATGTAGGTGAGATATACAACCAGGGAGAGAGTGGACACCCTTGTCTTGTCATGTAGGTGAGATATACAACCAGGGAGAGTGGACACCCTTGTCTTGTCATGTAGGTGAGATATACAACCAGGGAGAGAGTGGACACCCTTGTCTTGTCATGTAGGTGAGATATACAACCAGGGAGAGAGTGGACACCCTTGTCTTGTCATGTAGTTGAGATATACAACCAGGGAGAGAGTGAACACCCTTGTCTTGTCATGTAGGTGAGATATACAACCAGGGAGAGAGTGGACACCCTTGTCTTGTCATGTAGGTGAGATATACAACCAGGGAGAGAGTGGACACCCTTGTCTTGTCATGTAGGTGAGATATACAACCAGGGAGAGAGTGGACACCCTTGTCTTGTCATGTAGGTGAGATATACAACCAGGGAGAGAGTGGACACCCTTGTCATGTAGGTGAGATATACAACCAGGGAGAGAGTGGACACCCCTGTCATGTAGGTGAGATATAAAACGAGGGAGAGAGTGGACACCCTTGTCATGTATGTGAGATATCCAACCAGGGAGAGAGTGGACACCCTTGTCATGTATGTGAGATATACAACCAGGGAGACAGTGGACACCCTTGTCATGTATGAGATATACAACCAGGGAGAGAGTGGACACCCTTGTCATGTAGGTGAGATATACAACCAGGGAGAGAGTGGACACCCTTGTCATGTATGTGAGCTATACAACCAGGGAGAGAGTGGACACCCTTGTCATGTATGTGAGATATCCAACCAGGGAGAGAGTGGACACCCTTGTCTTGTCATGTAGGTGAGATATACAACCAGGGAGAGAGCGGACACACTTGTCATGTAGGTGAGATATACAACCAGGGAGAGAGTGGACACCCTTGTCATGTATGTGAGATATACAACCAAGGAGAGTGGACACCCTTGTCATGTATGAGATATACAACCAGGGAGAGAGTGGACGCCCTTGTCATGAATGTGAGATATACAACCAGGGAGAGAGTGGACACCCTTGTCATGTAGGTGAGATATACAACCAGGGAGAGAGTGGACACCCTTGTCATGTATGTGAGATATACAACCAGGGAGAGAGTGGACACCCCTGTCATTTATGTGAGATATACAACCAGGGAGAGAGTGGACACCCTTGTCTTGTCATGTAGGTGAGATATACAACCAGGGAGAGAGTGGACACCCTTGTCTTGTCATGTAGGTGAGATATACAACCAGGGAGAGAGTGGACACCCTTGTCTTGTCATGTAGGTGAGATATACAACCAGGGAGAGAGTGGACACCCTTGTCATGTAGGTGAGATATACAACCAGGGAGAGAGTGGACACCCCTGTCATGTAGGTGAGATATAAAACGAGGGAGAGAGTGGACACCCTTGTCATGTATGTGAGATATCCAACCAGGGAGAGAGTGGACACCCTTGTCATGTATGTGAGATATACAACCAGGGAGACAGTGGACACCCTTGTCATGTATGAGATATACAACCAGGGAGAGAGTGGACACCCTTGTCATGTAGGTGAGATATACAACCAGGGAGAGAGTGGACACCCTTGTCATGTATGTGAGCTATACAACCAGGGAGAGAGTGGACACCCTTGTCATGTATGTGAGATATCCAACCAGGGAGAGAGTGGACACCCTTGTCTTGTCATGTAGGTGAGATATACAACCAGGGAGAGAGCGGACACACTTGTCATGTAGGTGAGATATACAACCAGGGAGAGAGTGGACACCCTTGTCATGTATGTGAGATATACAACCAAGGAGAGTGGACACCCTTGTCATGTATGAGATATACAACCAGGGAGAGAGTGGACGCCCTTGTCATGAATGTGAGATATACAACCAGGGAGAGAGTGGACACCCTTGTCATGTAGGTGAGATATACAACCAGGGAGAGAGTGGACACCCTTGTCATGTATGTGAGATATACAACCAGGGAGAGAGTGGACACCCCTGTCATTTATGTGAGATATACAACCAGGGAGAGAGTGGACACCCTTGTCTTGTCATGTAGGTGAGATATACAACCAGGGAGAGAGTGGACACCCTTGTCTTGTCATGTAGGTGAGATATGCAACCAGGGAAAGAGTGGACACCCTTGTCTTGTCATGTAGGTGAGATATACAACCAGGGAGAGAGTGGACACCCTCATCATGTATGTAAGATATACAACCAGGGAGAGAGTGGACACCCTTGTCATGTATGTGAGATATTCAACCAGGGAGAGAGTGGACACCCTTGTCATGTAGGTGAGATATACAACCAGGGAGAGAGTGGACACCCTTGTCATGTATGTGAGATATCAAACCAGGGAGAGAGAGGACACACTTGTCATGTATGTGAGATATACAACCAGGGAGAGAGTGGACACCCTTGTCTTGTCATGTAGGTGAGATATACAACCAGGGAGAGAGTGGACACCCTTGTCTTGTCATGTAGGTGAGATATACAACCAGGGAGAGAGTGGACACCCTTGTCTTGTCATGTAGGTGAGATATACAACCAGGGAGAGTGGACACCCTTGTCTTGTCATGTAGGTGAGATATACAACCAGGGAGAGAGTGGACACCCTTGTCTTGTCATGTAGGTGAGATATACAACCAGGGAGAGAGTGGACACCCTTGTCTTGTCATGTATGTGAGATATACAACCAGGGAGAGAGTGGACCCCCTTGTCTTGTCATGTAGGTGAGATATACAACCAGGGAGAGAGTGGACACCCTTGTCTTGTCATGTAGGTGAGATATACAACCAGGGAGAGAGTGGACACCCTTGTCTTGTCATGTAGGTGAGATATACAACCAGGGAGAGAGTGGACACCCTTGTCATGTATGTGAGATATACAACCAGGGAGAGAGTGGACACCCTTGTCATGTATGTGAGATATACAAACAGGGAGAGAGTGGACACCCTTGTCTTGTCATGTGAGATATACAAACAGGGAGAGAGTGGACACCTTGTCTTGTCATGTAGGTGAGATATACAACCAGGGAGAGAGTGGACACCCTTGTCTTGTCATGTAGGTGAGATATACAACCAGGGAGAGTGGACACCCTTGTCTTGTCATGTAGGTGAGATATACAACCAGGGAGAGAGTGGACACCCTTGTCTTGTCATGTAGGTGAGATATACAACCAGGGAGAGAGTGGACACCCTTGTCTTGTCATGTAGTTGAGATATACAACCAGGGAGAGAGTGAACACCCTTGTCTTGTCATGTAGGTGAGATATACAACCAGGGAGAGAGTGGACACCCTTGTCTTGTCATGTAGGTGAGATATACAACCAGGGAGACAGTGGACACCCTTGTCTTGTCATGTAGGTGAGATATACAACCAGGGAGAGAGTGGACACCCTTGTCTTGTCATGTAGGTGAGATATACAACCAGGGAGAGAGTGGACACCCTTGTCATGTATGTGAGATATACAACCAGGGAGAGAGTGGACACCCTTGTCATGTATGTGAGATATACAAACAGGGAGAGAGTGGACACCCTTGTCTTGTCATGTGAGATATACAAACAGGGAGAGAGTGGACACCTTGTCTTGTCATGTAGGTGAGATATACAACCAGGGAGAGAGTGGACACCCTTGTCTTGTCATGTAGGTGAGATATACAACCAGGGAGAGTGGACACCCTTGTCTTGTCATGTAGGTGAGATATACAACCAGGGAGAGAGTGGACACCCTTGTCTTGTCATGTAGGTGAGATATACAACCAGGGAGAGAGTGGACACCCTTGTCTTGTCATGTAGGTGAGATATACAACCAGGGAGAGAGTGGACACCCTTGTCTTGTCATGTAGGTGAGATATACAACCAGGGAGAGAGTGGACACCCTTGTCTTGTCATGTGGGTGAGATATACAACCAGGGAGAGAGTGGACACCCTTGTTTTGTCATGTAGGTGAGATATACAACCAGGGAGAGAGTGGACACCCTTGTCTTGTCATGTAGGTGAGATATACAACCAGGGAGAGAGTGGACACCCTTGTCTTGTCATGTAGGTGAGATATACAACCAGGGAGAGAGTGGACACCCTTGTCTTGTCATGTAGGTGAGATATACAACCAGGGAAAGAGTGGACACCCTTGTCTTGTCATGTAGGTGAGATATACAACCAGGGAGAGAGTGGAAACCCTTGTCACGTCCACATACATGACATGACAAGGGTGTCCACTCTCTCCCTGGTTGTATATCTCACATACATGACAAGGGTGTCCACTCTCTTCCGTGTTGTATATCTCACATACATAAGGCCTTTTTTATTAAATACATTTACAAAATGAACATGTTTCATTGTGAAATGAGTTTATTGACCGACTGTATGAATCAAATGTTGACTCTCCTTGACATGGGCTTATATCCTAACAATATTGAAACATTTATCTAAATCAAATTCATAATACACCGGAATAATATATATCACAAACAGGTGTTTCCTTCAAGTATGAACAAGGCACCACATGCCTTGCCTTGACAGTCATCTACAGGTCAGTATAAGAGTCAAGTGGTTTTCTGTGTATTGTTCAACAGGACAGCAAACTGGTAATATTGTGTTCCTTGCACTATTGCTCAACTGACTCTGCAAGCTTCCACAGGTAAAATAACAATGAAACATCACAAACTACGAACAAGCTTAGACAAACAAAACAATTTGGAATGAAATAATTACATTAAAGATAAAACCAGAAGCCATCCATATCCCCACCATCTGGAAACACACTATCATTGTGCGGGATCATATCAAGCTCTTTTCCAGCACGTGACACCTTCGCTACACTCTTGGTAACATCGCAGCCACCATTACAAGAATCTTGAAGTTTGCCCTCTAACCCCAAATGTGGAAATGTTTATACTTTTGTTTATGCCTGTGGGAATGCAATTAAAGTGAATTTTGAGGTTTATGACTTTCACTGGTGGCAGCTATAGTATAGAGAGTTCCACGAACAGGCTCTCGCTGTGAGGAGTTTGGGATCATATGTAACAAGGGTCATAACTCTGTAAAGTATTCATTCTCAATATAGGTTTCCAAATGTGATAACATTGATCATGTACTGATGTGTGTCATCTGTTGTACTTTCTGAAAAGGATAACATATCAAACAGGGGCCATAAATATTATGGCCAGGGAAATATTATTATTTGATGATGGTTTTCAAACATGATCCACATATTTATCCCTTGATGATGTTTGCAAGATGTCATCACTGTATCCACAGCAGACCAAGAAAACATGTCTCATTATGTTCCAAAACATAAGACAAAGGCCATAAGTCTGTAAACAGTACTGTTTAGAGGACAGTTTTCAAACCCGTTCTCCATATTTATCCCTGAACAAAATGTGCAAATTGTATCTTATATCCATAGTGTTTGGGGAGAACATGTTTGGAGGTACAGGGCATCTTGTACATAGCCACAGAATATTTCCACTAAACCGCCTAAAGCTGTGATGATTCAGATCTCAACCGGAATCAGGACCTTAGTACCAGTCAACATACATTGTCTGTGGTGCAACATGGATATTGCAGTGGGTCCAGTCAAAGTCAGAGACAAAGGCAGCAGTTGAACAGACGAGATTTTGCCACATTTAGGGCACTACTTTCTTTACTTTCCGCGTTTGTTCCATGGCAACAGCATAGGTATACACTCGAGAGTCGATCACCACACCATCACTGGCCAACTCTGAAACAAGGAAAAGTAAACAGCTGTTGAACGATTGCTGTAAGCAATATTCCATCAATGTCATCATGGCAGACACCAGAAATGGGCTTCACACATTGTACCCAGGTGGGCAATCGAACCCAGGTCTTTGGCGTGGTGACACAAGGCTTACCGACCACCCTGACAGATATGGAAACTTCATCTACAAAGACGCATGTTCTGTGGATCTGTGCTAACAAGGTCATGTGTTGTGGGAGGTCAACAAAGGGAAGCAACTCTGAAAAGTGTGTTGGGCAACTCCACCCCCATGTCAACAGTAGCGTCCAATGTATCCCCTCCCCATTCTCGATTTATCTTGGAATTTAAATGAATTTTCATGACAGGACAATTGGGAGGAAAAGACAAAATTTGGAGTTTTGTAAAGTTCTCTTAAATTCAGAGGTAATTTAATAGCATTCAATGCAATGTTCTCAGCCACCGCCTGCATCACAAAGTTCTCCGCATGTTTCATTTTTATTTCCATTTTAAAAAAGAACTAAAAATACTTAAATATTCTAACAGTAGTCCAGGAATACATTTATGTAGGGAGGCCCTTTCCCAAGTTCACTGTACAAAACTTTTTATTTGGTTACACAACTGTTTATTTGGTTACATACTAGTTTGAACAACCAAATAAAAAGAAAAGAAAAAAGACACCGCCTGCCCGCACTTTATTTTCAAAAAACATTGCCTGAGAACCAATTCTTTATTTATTAAGTCTAAAAAGTATTTTTTTCATATGATATAATTTTAGTCATAATAATCGCCGATATTGGAAAATCTGGAATTCCATTTTTTGCTGACATTTGCTGAGGCAGGTGAGAAGTCAAACATGCATCTTGTACAGATATCTGCACAGTGCTATGTTACCAGTAGTGCTGATCAAAACAAGAAATCATGTACCATTTAACTTAGTAAGCAGATCCTCCATTGGGACAACAAGGACATCTATGAATTCTGAAACATTCAAGGAAGGGATAAAGTAAGTATTACTTATGGGAAGTTTGGATTTTTGTATTATGTCTTGAAATGATAATTTCCTGTATCAAACAGGCTCTGTGTGAAGGCTCTCATCTTCCCGAGACAAGGGAGTTAACTGACTATAAAAGCCCAGTTTCCACCCTTGACGAACTAGGCTGGAATTCCGGAGTTACATTTTGGCTGGACTAACGAGACTATGCATAGTCCAACCAAAATCGCATAAGGAACTAGACATATGGGATAACAGCATGGATTTCAAGGTGTAGATTTCGGTGGACTGAATGATTTGCAAAACGTGTACTGCCAAGTGGGCGTTGACATTTTGCAAATATTTGCATGTTTTTTTAATCAAGGTGCTCATGTGATTTGATGCCCTTCGAGAGGTAAGGTCCACTTTATTATAATATAGATCTTGATCATTGATCAGATTGTCTTGACTTGGCACTGCCATTTTGTTTGAAGCAATGGCAAGTGATATGAGAGTAGGAATCTGATTGGTCAACAAGGAGGGACATAGAGGGAACAGAACTCGACATAGCCACTGGTGGCGCTATGATCTAGCCTGGAAATACCAGTCTAGTTCTGAAAGGCTGGAAACTGGACTTTTATAGTTGGTTAATGCATTTGCCTCGGGAAGATAGAAAGCTCTGTACAAAGGTCATACAACATGTACAAGGGTAAACAACATTAAGTACTAACAGTTGTTTCTCAGCAACAAACATCCTCACAGCATGTGCCATAAACTGAATATTGGTACATGTATAAGACACATATTATAATGACTTGTAGGGCATAGCACATACCTTCCTCATACGATACATGCAAACTTGTCTGAGCAATGGGCAAAAACAACATTTTCAATATGACTGCTGTGGTGTCACACTATGACATAGGCTCACTTTACTTTTAGTCAGGTGAGCTACAACCGAAATCAGTTTCGGCAACTTTAAGCAAACTCAGATCGTCCCCGTTTGTTGTTGGAAGGTTAAAAACAAATGTTTCAGTTGAATCAAACTCAAAAGTATTCCCACTGCCACATATTGGTGGAAACGAAAGCTGCTTACCTGACTCCTCTGATGATGTGAAGTACATGAAACACAAACAGACAACATCACAGCTGTATCCATGGAAACAGCTTACATGAGGACAAATCAGCAGTAACTCATAGGCAACAACATGATAAGCCATAAATGGTTTTACTTGCAGGAGTGAGTGAGTGAGTGGGTTGGGTTTCATATCACTTTCTACAGTATTCCATATATCACATCAATTATTTGCATGTAATCCATGAGGAAGAATGTGTATGTAAAATAAACATGATCTTTTGATTAGGCAACAAAACATTATCATCAAAACTTTCAAAGATAAGAGGAGGGAGGCATTTTTTTTCTATCTTTGTAAACTTTTCAAGTACATGAAATATTGAATGTTATTATTCCTATGTTGACGTTTCTGTTTCCAACACGACATGCTTTTGGAATAATAATTCCATCATGTAATAAAACAAGGCAACATGGAGTGACTTTCTTTGTCTGTAGGGACTAGGGCACAAAACATGAAATGAGGCAGGGTGTTTGGGAGTGAGGTCGGCGGGGGTGAAAATTTGTTAAGTTACTTCAGAAATTTGATATACATGAATGACTGAAGACCTTGCTGGCTGAAGCCTCATCGACACTGGTATCAACTTTCCACCTGTATCAACTCCCCAACCCCTCAAAAAACAACAAAGTTCTACGGCCATTTTTTTAAATTTCTGCAACAAATTTATGTATAATTCTGAACACAATTATGCAATTTTTTAAGCTTAGATTTTGTGAATTTCCTAGTTTTGCACCTGTTTGACGTGTGGCAGGCATTTTTATAATGAACATATCACTTATAGAAGTGAATCTGAGCTCACTAGTCTAAACATACAGACAAACATTTTGGTAAGCAATAATTCAAAACTTCAAAATAAAATATCTGTTTACACATTTAAAACAAACCTTCGACTCATGTTAAAATTCTGCCCTGCATTTGACGGAATTCTGTGGCAGATAAATGCAACATACTGCACGAGATCTGCGACCACAGAAGCGCGGAATACAGCAAGGATTGGTTCATGGAACATGCATATTAAAGGTGAAACAATACATTGAAACACTGAACTACCCTGATACGTGGCCTTCGTTACGATACATGACACACATTGCCATGTTTCACAATACATGACAACAGAAAAGACATAATTTTAACTCACTTTACGAAGTATTAACCCCCATCTTACTATACAAACTGTGTGCTGCTGTTAAACTTGACATGGCATTTGTGCTCCTATTCTAGAATCCAGCGTATCAAGATTTGTACAGTATTTTGACCGGAGTATCGAGATATGTATCACATGATTGCCTCTCGTATTGCACCCCTTCTGCACATGTTGTATGGTCAAAAATAACCAAGGGCTCACGGGTGGCCCAGTCGTCTAGGGCACCACAGTTCGCTGTGCTGAATAGTTTCCCTTCAGCATGCCAGAATCCTATGATTATGGGATCAGATCCCCATTCACCATGATTATGTTTCTAGGTTTGTCAGCATCGTACCCATGCTCGTGGGTTTCACCGAAGTGGTAAACATTTAAGACCTACATCACTTCGAAATTTACTCCCAAATTAAGCTGACATGCCATGAAATAACTGGAATACTGTTCAAAGCGGCGTTTCACCAAACTCACTCACTCACAAAGAACTAGGTTTCAGTGTACAATCCAAGTGAAGGGCATGAGCTCAGTAGGTTTACCTGGATGTGGTTTTGGAGATGTATTGATATCCTCGTCACCATCGATCTGAAGAAACAAAACAAGTGACATTGTGAAAAACTCTGGATAGCATGGTTTGTTATGCGGTTCAAATGCAAGCCCTGAAGACTCAAGAACACAAGAACACCCGCAAATCTGAACATGCTAACAACATATAACATGTATCTCTTATCTGAAATGTGGTTCCAATCTATGAGCATCTTCTTAAGATTGGGTTGGTTGGGTTGTTGTTTAACGCCGCACTCAGCAATATTCCAGCTATATGACAGCAGTCTGTAAATAATCAAGTCTGGACCTGACAATCCAGTGACTAATATCATGAGCATCGATCCACGCAATTGGGATACGATGACATGCATCAACCAAGTCAGCGAGCCTGACCACCCGATCCCGTTAGTCGCCTGCTACGGCAAGCATGGGTGCGCTGAATACCTATTCTACCCCGGATCTACATGGATCCTGAAGATTGGGAGACATGTTACAGTCATTGTATGTAATGATGCCCACTTGAGTTGTGTACATCTAATTGTCTTCATGACAAATACACAGAAACAAGCATAACTTTGAAACCTACAATTTTCACAGGCATGGTTCATTCAGACTTTCAGTCATTAAATTTGATAATTTTGTGGTACATGTATTAGTCACAATGACACCAGGAGATAACTGGTCCAAAAGCCATAAGATAAGTGACTGCGACTTCTCAGTTATTTTGCAAAATATAACATACCATACTATTGATCACTGTATATATTACTACTGAAAATACATATAAATGAAACATAACAAGCTAAAACCACAGACCTTGACTAATAATAATAAGATCTAGAGCTATATTGACAGAAATGAGAGAAAAACTATTAACATATTTCTTGAAGCTAGAAGCTAGAAATGTCTTTAATAATGCATATATATGTATTGAAACCAGTACAGGAAATATAATAACAGCGCATCATGAAATCCAGGAGTAAGTAAGATCTTTCCATCAAAAACTCTATGCTAAACATAGAGTTTCAAATGTCGACCTAAACGACCTATTAGACAATTTCAATGTTCTTAACCTTTCTGACGAGGCGGCTACAAAATTAGAAGGGTAATTAATTCATGATGAAGTGCTCTCAGATGAAAAACAATAGTTCTGGCCCTAATGGTTTTACAGCTGAATTTATTAAATTCTTTTGGCTAGCTGACTTGGTTGATGCATGTCATTGTATCCTAGTTGCATAGACTGATGCTCATGATGACAATCAATGGATTGTTTGGTCCAGACTCCATCATATAGCTGGAATATTGCTGAGTGCAGCATTAAACAAATAAACCACACTAAAATTAACCACACTAAGTTGAATTCGGAACCGAACGTGCAGCGTGAGGTTTCAAATGATTAATTTATCACAGTTAAATCTGCAGGTAACCTAGCTCTACATTGAAAACACAGTATGTGTATCTACATTCTTCCATGGTTAAACAAAACGCAAACTCTTTGGTGTTAGCAAATATATTGAGTGAAGTGGCATGGCTTGAGTCCAGTGTTTTGAGAGTTACGGATTCACGACAATGGCCTTTAGTCAAAATATGGCGCTGTATATGTTCAAGCAATGTTTACACCGTAATACGTCACTGAAACGCATGACAGGCATTGAAAGCATATAAACACGGCAACATGGAAAGCTAACATGAAGTCTGCACCCCTAAAGAAAACTAAGCAAGCGTTGCAAACCTTTCGTTCTACATCGCATGTCACCATTATGACGTCACATTGGTATATAGAAAAGCGCCATATTCCAAGCTCTTTGTTGTCCCCAAAACTTAAAATATATTCTCTTTGTTGACTTCAATCATGTTTTCTGTAGGAAATGTTTTGCCACACATTCTTTGAATATTGTAGTAACCGCAACTTTGCATTTTGTAGCCTATAATTGTAGGTATAATTATTTAAATACGCCTAATGACAATGAATGAAAAAGTACTATTCTATGACTATTAGCTTGATGTGGCTGTCAAACCAGCTGTTTCAATCAGAGGGGATTTAATAAATAGCCTCTGATTGACCAATCAAAATCGATTAATATCCAAATTCGTGGTAGAATTCATAATATTTCAGAATATGCACACATTCCTTCTGAGGTGAGGTGAAATGGGGTTTAACGTCGCGTCCAAGATTATTGCACTTATATAGCGACGTGCATGCACGTGTATGTGTGTGTGTGTGGCTGCTTGTACCAGCTCGGACTGATGCCGATTTATAGTGCTAGCACACTGAGATACCATGCCACAGTTTAACATGAATACCCCACTCAGACACAGTATACTGACTCCGAGCCGACCAGTCCTTGTTTTAGCCTCTTTATGCCGAGCGCCAGACAGGGTAACAACAAGTACCATCTTTTAACGTCTTTTGGTATGACGCGGTCGGGGATCGAACCCCGGACCTTCCGCTCTCCGGGCGGACGCTCTACCATTAGACCACAGAGGCGGTCATTCCTTCTGACTATGCACACATTCCTTCTGACGATGCACCCAATCCTTCTGACTATGCACACGTTCCTTCTGACTATGCACACGTTCCTTCTGATATGATGTAAACACAAAGCTACAGGCAACTTCATGTGCGCATGATCAGATGTTTTTTATTTGTATCTAAACAGTTTTTGCCAGTGCTGAGGTACACAATTCCCATTTGGATGTTTTGTACCCAACTCACGAGACCTACAGCGGGTACCCGGGTAATAAATATGTACCCATCCCAGCCCTTACCTATGCACACTTTAAAACTTGCACATGACTTTAAAAGTTCAGTTTCCACCCTAGCCGTTCTAGGCTGGAATTATGGAGTTATACATATAACTCCAGATATCTTTTTGAGCAATTGAGTTTTTACTCTAGGGTTTCTTTTTTAATTGGGTTATTTCATTTTTCATTGGGTTCTAATATATTTTCACTCATCTATTCATCACTCTATTGGGTTTTTCCCAAAATGACTGAGCATATTGAGATCTTAAAAAAATAATGAAATAATGTTTTAGATGTATATAACGGTCTAAGTAAAGGCTGGACTTGGAAAGTAAATTAGCTCGTAATTGTGATTCGGATATTAGCTCGGATATTGTTGTACATGTGCTGAAAAAAATGTATTGGGTATTTACGTGTGCTGTTTTCAAACAAATGCGTTTTCCATTTAATGTATGCGTTTCTGTACGCAAGGTCATTGAAAGTAATTGGGTTTTGAATAGTTTGACAAATACGCAGCTTATCTGTAACTCTGGTTATATTTTGGCTGGACTAGCGAGTCTATGCATAGTCCAATCAAAATCCCTTAATGATATTGACTTCCAGTTTTTCAAAACTTTTCATCTTTCTTAATCAAGGTGCTCAAGTGATTTGATGCACTTCGTGAGGTAAGGCCTGTCTTATTACAATAAAGATCTTTATTATCGATAAGATATCGTCTTGAATGGGTGTCACCATTTTGTCTGAAGCAAATGCAAGAGATATGAGAGGTGGAATCTGATTGGTCAGTTTTTGTTTGATTGTTTGTTGTTTAACGCTGCACTCAGCAATCATGGCAATAGTCCAGCTATATGACGATGGTCTGTAAATAATCGAGTCTGGACCAGACAATCGATTGACATCATGAGCATCGATCCATGCAATTAGGATACGATGACATGCATAAACCAAGTCAGCGAGCCTGACCACCCGATCCCGTTAGCCGCCTCGTATGACAAGCATAGGCGCATTTTATTGCAAGCATGGGTTGCTGAAGACCAATTCTACCCCAGATCAACACAACTTGTAAAAGCCACTGGTGGCACTACGATCAATCCTAGAAATTCCAGCCTAGTTCAGCAAGGGTGGAAACTGAATTTTTTAAGTCAGTTAACTCCCTTGCCTCTGGAAGATGCCAGGTCACAGGTTGTAACCAGATCCTCATGAACTCCGATAACAGACATGTTGTTAATCCTGCACCTGTGTGTTCATATGCGTTAGTCGCTACCACCGCACTCAGAAATATCCCAGCTATATGACGGCGGCCTGTAACTAATCAAGGCTGGCCCAGACAACCAGTGATTGATATAATGAGCAACGCCCCACACCATTGGCGAACATAGACACACCATCAACGAAGTAAGCGATCCTAACAATCCATTTGGTCACCTCTTATGACCAGCACAGGTTGCTGGAGGCCTATTCTAGCCAGGACTCCCCAAGGGTCTCATTCCCCTGAACCTCCGTTGGCTGACCTGCCAGTGACAAAACTCACCTCTACTGTGACCACTCTGACTGATGTGTTGCCGATGCCCGGGTCCAGGCAGGTCACTAAATAACACAGTGAAACATCATAGATCAGGCACTGTGTATTCTGTATACAAGTAATTATCCATCATGCTGTCGAGTGTAAATGAACAATTAACATGATTAATAGTAACATGCCCGTCAGAGATACTGGAGACAGATACCTAAGCAGAAGTCAATAGCATTTTATTTCTTTTGATAGTATTGTGTTTGAATTTTGTCACAGGTGTGACACAAATATGGAACTGTAAGACACTAGAAACAAAGGCGTTGTTTGACAGACAAGAGCTTCCTTCCTCTGACGTACCTGGAGAGATGTGCTTCACCTTCCCTGCATACCCTGTCTCCTCTCGGAGTTCCCTCACCGCAGTCTCCTCAGGCGTCTCCCCTTTGTCCACCAACCCTGCAACATGGTAATAGAACATCACAACAAACCCTGCAACATGGTGGTAGAACATCACAACCAACCCTGCAACATGGTGGTAGAACATCACAACCAATTGTAAACATATGTGAAGAACATCACAACCAACCCTGCAACATGGTGGTAGAACATCACAACCAACCCTGCAACATGGTGGTAGAACATCACAACCAACCCTGCAACATGGTGGTAGAACATCACAACAAACCCTGCAACATGGTGGTAGAACATCACAACCAACCCTGCAACATGGTGGTAGAACATCACAACAAACCCTGCAACATGGTGGTAGAACATCACAACCAATTGTAAACATATGTGAAGAACATCACAACCAACCCTGCAACATGGTGGTAGAACATCACAACCAACCCTGCAACATGGTGGTAGAACATCACAACCAATTGTAAACATATGTGAAGAACATCACAACCAACCCTGCAACATGGTGGTAGAACATCACAACCAACCCTGCAACATGGTGGTAGAACATCACAACCAACCCTGCAACATGGTGGTAGAACATCACAACCAATTGTAAACATACGTGAACAACATCACAACCAACCCTGCAACATGGTGGTAGAACATCACAACCAATTGTAAACATATGTGAAGAACATCACAACCAACCCTGCAACATGGTGGTAGAACATCACAGCCAATTGTAAACATATGTGAAGAACATCACAACCAACCCTGCAACATGGTGGTAGAACATCACAACCAACCCTGCAACATGGTGGTAGAACATCACAACCAACCCTGCAACATGGTGGTAGAACATCACAGCCAATTGTAAACATATGTGAAGAACATCACAACCAACCCTGCAACATGGTGGTAGAACATCACAACCAACCCTGCAACATGGTGGTAGAACATCACAGCCAATTGTAAACATATGTGAAGAACATCACAACCAACCCTGCAACATGGTGGTAGAACATCACAGCCAATTGTAAACATATGTGAAGAACATCACAACCAACCCTGTAACATAGGCAGGAACATCACAACCAACCCTGTAACAAAGGGTGGAACATGAGACCAACCCTAAAACTTAGGGTTAGAACAACACAACTCACCTACCTACATATCCTCGTGTATAAGCCTTCATCACAGGTCGGTACTGCTTCACCATGACAACCGTCCAACTCACCTGCTGGGAGCTCTGGTGTATAAGCCTTCATCACAGGTCGATACTGCTTCACCATGACAACCGTCCAACTCACCTGCTGGGAACTCCAGTGTATAAGCCTTCATCGGAAGTCGGTACTGCTTCACCATGACAACCGTCCAACTCACCTGCTGGGAGCTCTAGTGTATAAGCCTTCATCGGAGGTTGGTACTGCTTCACCATGACAACTGTCCAACTCACCTGCTTGGAACTCTGGTGTATAAGCCTTCATCGGAGGTCGGTACTGCTTCACCATGACAACCCTCCAACTCACCTGCTGGGAACTCTAGTGTATAAGCCTTCATCGGAGGTCGGTACTGCTTCACCATGACAACCGTCCAACTCACCTGCTGGGAGCTCTAGTGTATAAGCCTTCATCGGAGGTCGGTACTGCTTCACCATGACAACCCTCCAACTCACCTGCTGGGAACTCTAGTGTATAAGCCTTCATCGGAGGTCGGTACTGCTTCACCATGACAACCCCTTCAACTCAGCTGCTGGGAGCTCTAGTGTATAAGCCTTCATCGGAGGTCGGTACTGCTTCACCATGACAACCCCTTCAACTCAGCTGCTGGGAACTCTAGTGTATAAGCCTTCATCGGAGGTCGGTACTGCTTCACCATGACAACCCCTTCAACTCAGCTGCTGGGAGTTCTAGTGTATAAGCCTTCATCGGCGGTCGGTCCTGCTTCACCATGACAACCCTCCAACTCACCTGCTGGGAACTCTAGTGTATAAGCCTTCATCGGCGGTCGGTACTGCTTCACCATGACAACCGTCCAACTCACCTGCTGGGAACTCTAGTGTATAAGCCTTCATTAGAGGTTGGTACTGCTTCACCATGACAACCGTCCAACTCACCTGCTGGGAACTCTAGTGTATAAGCCTTCATCGGCGGTCGGTATTGCTTCACCATGATAACACAGTCATACTTCAGGGTTCTCTTCAAGATTGGGATGACATAAACAGCTGAAACCAAAACCACAGAATCAGACAGGCCGTCACAGGCATTAGACCACCATCATTCCTTAACCCTGCAGCATACTTACAGACTAGCACTCACGCCTGGAGAACACTGCCATATACAATCACGTAACCAAGGGAATACTTCCACTGCAATACTATTGGACCACAGTCTGTGAGACTAGAAGGCAGTACCTTGATTACTTACTGAGAACTGGATACAAATCTTCATTAGATTTGAGGTTGCAGATCATCAAAATCCTTCAACTTGTTATGACTACCAACTGACCAAAGCCATGTCCTCCTTTCAGAGAGATTCCAATCAAAAACAATGTCTGCTAATTTTCTGAACACAAAGGCTGCCATTTCTTAAAAACTCTAAATTGCCTTAAATGAAGCTTGATATTTGATTGGTTAGAATGTCATGCAACATTCCACTGACAATAGTTTGGCTGCTTATTATAAGATGTGATTAATGTGAGCAGGGCAAAAAACTATAAGGCAAATGGAAAAACGTATCTGGACTGATTCCATCTTGTTTTATCCAGTTAACTGAAGCCCTAAATCTACAGTTCTGCATGAATCTCACCATCTGCTTCATCTGCGGAGCCCGTTGTTCTGGACACTGCCTCCCATATTCTTACAGAAGCAAACAAACAAAAACATAACATCATTTAATTTACTTGTAATCTAATTAACATACATTTCTTTTAAGATAATCAAACAATGTTTTGAAACCTTCAAACATTTCAAAAGTAACATAATTTCTGACAGAAAGGACTAAGCATGAACTGTCTGCATAATGATATGTGTAACACATCTAGAATATGGAAATAACTATTCCTTCCAGATTTTCACTCGTCACTTTACCCGATCTAATTGCTGGTCTCTTACGACCAGCCTAGATTGGGGTCCACTTTAATGACATCTTTTCAGTATTTGCATCAACTTTCAATGTTTATGCATACAGGATGCAATAGTTTACGTCCAGCAAACCCTGAACAAGTCCACCTCTTGTCTCACACATGCCATCTTGCTGGCTGCTGTGGCCCTACTAGTCAAGGGGCCAGTTAACCCCCAGTACAGCAGGGGTGCAATCTGGCACCAGCCCACCACTGTCCACTAGGGGGAGCTCTTCTCCTGTTCAAGGCTTCCTGAGTCTATTTAGAATTTCAGGCTTTATTGGGGCTCTCCCAGTTGGGAAAGGGAAGTTACAGGTTGCATGTCTGAATAGCTTATTCTCAACAATTCCACCCAGAAGTACATGCATCTTCCCGAGGTAAGGCAGTTAACTGACTGTAAAAGTCCAGTTTCCACACTTTCCCAACCAGCCTTGCCTCGGGAAGATGAAGTACATGCTACTGAGGCTTACTGTCAGTGTTACCTTTGCTGACCATGGGGATCTTTATAGGTGATCTTGTTCAGTGACAACCATTTTCCCCGGGCAACTTCCTGCAACAAGACTCCATAGATAAGTGAGTGAGCGAGTTTGATTTTACGCCACTTTTAGCAATATTAGAGTAATATCACGGCGGGGGACACCAGAAATGGGCTTCACACATTGTACCCTTGTCGGGAATCGAACCCAGGTCTTCGGTGTGACAAGCGAATGCTTTAACCACTAGGCTACCCGACGACACCACACCCCTAGATAAGTACTGACGTACTATATCTGCAAACTTGATGATATTGGGACTAAAACAGGACATCCCTAGAACCACCTAAAATAGATCCTTTGAAGGAAGAACCTTGTAAAACTCATTTAAATTGATGTCACTGAGACACCTATCCCATTGTGAGTGAGGAGTTGGTTTTAACACTCCTTCAACAGTATTACAGTTATATCAAAGTGTATCACCTTGATATGGGAGGAGAGCATGAATTGATGCAGGTTCATGACGGTTACCACTTTGGTGAATCCCACGAGCGAAGGTATGGTGCTGACATATCTTGAAACATAATTGGGGCAACCTGGGATTCGACCACATGATCCTGGCATACCCAAGGGACTGAACTGTCAGCAACTTGCAGTGCCTCAGATGACTGTGCCATCCATGTCCCCTAACTGTCCCTTTGTGGGACACTTTTGTGGTTGGTTTGTTTGTTTGTTGTTTTACGCCACACTCAGCAATATCCTAGCTATATGACAGCGGTCTGTAAATAGTCGAGTCTGGACCAGACAATACAGTGATTGATATCATGAGCATCACTTTTGTGGAGTTTGTCATATTCACAATTCTGACCATCTCCCCGAGGCGAGGGGGCTAACTGACAACAAAAGCCCAGTTTCCACCCTTGCCAAACGAGTTTTGGCCCTTCTATGTCCCTCCTAATGACAAATCAGATTCCACCTCTCATAATCCTATAATTTGCATTTGCTTAAAACAAGTTGGCAGCTCCCAGTCAAGACAATCTGATCAATAATCGGGGTCACGGGTGGCCCAGTCGTCTAAGGCGCCGCGATTCACTGTGCAGAGTTGCGTCCCTTGGGCACGCCAGAAACCTATGATTGTGGGTTCGAATCCCGGTTTGCCCCAATAATGTTTCTAGGTTTGTCAGCACCATACCCATGCTCGTGGTTTTCATCGAAGTGGTAAACATCTGAGACCTGCATCACTTCGGCTTTCCTCCCACATCAAACTGACACGCCGTGATATAACTAGAATACTGTTAAAAGCGGCGTTAAACCCAACTCACTCACTCACTCACTGATCAATAATCAAGATCTAAGTTGTCATAAAACAGGTCTTACCTGGCAAAGTGCATAAAATATTTTGAGCACCTTGATTAAAAACATGAAAACATTTGGAAAATATCTGCCGATGCCAAATAGACATTACAAATGCTTTGCAAATCCTGCAGTCGACGGAAATCTGCACACTGAAATCCTTTGTGTTTACAAACAGGACGTCTAGTTTGTTGCACGATTTTGATTGGACTATGCTCGTTAGTAAGTCAAAATGTAACTCCAGAATTCCAGCATAGTCGGCAACGGTGGAAACTACCTCGGGAAGATGAATGATGACAATCGCTGGAGCTAGGCAACAGTAGTTGTACTGCTTTAAACAGTAGTCTTTCACTTACCATAACAGTTTCATAGGTAGCAAGTTTCATGTCGGTTTCTGAGTGATTGTTTTCAGCAGGTGAATAAAATGTTAAATAAAAATATGGTAGGTGTTAGTAGCTTCTTTGCAGGACACATTGTTAAAAGTAAATAATTTGGTAAGTATATCCAAGCTGATGACAAGAGAGTCATTCGGTAAGTGGCGGATGATGGCTGGAGTTGAATAGGCCTAGCATATTAAATTTTGTGATAGGATTTGCTGGTTCCTCTGTAACTACTTATATAAATAAATAATCCGGTAAGTATATACAAGCCGACACTAGTGTGAGTGATAGGTATGAATTACAGTAATAATTAATTTGTAGTGATAGGAGTTACAGGTCACTTTGTAACTACTATTACAGAAATGTATGATCAGGTAAGGAGAACAAACTGAGAAGGGTGGGAGAGTAGAGTGGATATTTTGCCACGTCATATTCAATATGTGTATGAAACAAATCATTAATCACTTCTATTTCTCTACTGTATTTGTTTTCTGTACGAGTTCGCCGTAAATTCTGTCTCCGAGTTGTGTGTGGCTAGGAATCCTTGGCTATACGAATTGGTCAGGTTACGAATATTCCCCTCCAGCTGTTGTATAGCTAGGCATGTAAAGAAGACGATGCGTCTACTGAATCGATTGTTAGGTAATATTTATACATGCACATCTTGTGTAAAGTACTCAGCATACCTCCTGGTTAATAAACTCGCTCTGATTCTGTGGTTTCGAGGCGGCCCCGGTGCTGCCGTTCTGATCCATCATGTGGACTTTAACTTTCTCACGGCTCAACTTCCAGTTCTGCCAACTTGACTCGTTTCTGCACAAGCACGCAAACCACTGACAACAGTAAACTGAACGTGTTTGTAATTCTCTGAAACACCTGCTGTGTATTAAGCAACGTAAAATACCGGAGGGAATGTATGCATTAAAGTTTTGTGATCATAGTTATCAACCACGTTTTCAGCCAAACATAGGGTCACGTGGGTAACCTCTGACCTCCGGATGTAAAATGTTTCAGCAGCTCGGCCGATTTCGTTAATATCCGCCAGTCTTCGTAATACCAGACTGATTACGAAAACATTCGTCACCACTTGCATGCAATTGAAGCCTATAGTTGTCAAGTCTACAGTTTCTTAAAATGAAGAAAGTCTCTGGGCTCCTTTTTATTATATTTTATAGATCTAATCATAATTCAACATTTCAGAGACTAGATGCATTTTAGTCTAGGCTAGCACTATAATTGCTATAATTGTCGATAGGACTCCTTGTGACTGAAATACTTCAAACCACAGGTAGGGCGATCGGTAGTTACTCGATATTTCAATAACAAAAGTGTGTGTTATATCATTTTTCAACAGGCAAAAAGCAGTTTTCTTGCATTTCAGACAGTACTTTAACACGTGTTCATACTGGATTCTACCATGAATTTGTAAATTACTCGATTCTGATTGGTCAACTGGAGGTGGTTAAATCACAATAAACCGCCTCTGATTGAAACAGACGATTTGACGCCCGCATCTCAGCGGAAGCCAATATTCATAGATTAGGGCCTACTACTTTTTCTAGTCATTGTCTGTGGGCATATTTAAATAATTATACCTAAAATTATATTATAGGCTACAAAATGCAAAGTTGCGGCTACTACAATATTCAAAGAATGTGTGGCAATGCATTTCATGCATGGAATGTATGTTACGTTTTGGGGATAACCAAAGCTTGGAATTTGGCGCTTTTCATTATACGACCGTGACGTTATATCTTTTGTGTCACAATGAGCGTATGACATCATAATGATGACGTGAGGTGTAGAATGAAAGCTTTGCAAAGCTTGCTCAGTTAACATTAGGGGTGCCCACCTGACTTTAGCACACCAAGATGCCGTGCTTATATGCTTTCAATGCATGTTATATGTTCGAGTGAAGTATTTCGTTGTAAAAAAACTGCTTGATGATATACAGCGCCATATTTTGTTTACAGGCTGTTGTCGGTGATTCCGTAATTCACATCGACAACCCACTAAACACTGGACTCAACCCATGCCGCTTCACTCAGTATATTTGCTGACACCAAAGAGTTCGCGTTTTATTTACTCATGGATAAATCCAGACAATCCAGTGATTGACATCATGAGCATCGATCGCGCAATTGGGATACGATGCCATGAATCAACCAAGTAAGCGAGTCTGACCACCTGATCCCGTTAGCCAGCTAACTAGCTGCATGTGTTTACCTATTTTCCAGGTGTATATATTCATCTTGTACTTCTGTGTTGAACATGCAGATCTTTCATCTACTAATAGTCATATACGCGCCGGGAGTTTAATTTTTTTTCCATTGTTCAACTCCTTAGTTGTCATGAAAATCGTCGCCATTCTGACAGACAGTCGCACTGTCAACAATTTATGTCCGCTTCCAACACTATACAACCAGTCCTAAAACGTGACATGGTTTATAGTATGACACCGCGCGCACCATATTGGGTATTAACTTATACAAATGAATATTTTCCTCTTGAACGTATACCATTTTATTGGTGCATGGCCATATTTTTAATTATGTGTGTGTGTGTGTGTGTGTGTGTGTGTGTGTGTAAAGAATCATTGCTACAACCCCACACAGTCCCGGAATGAACATATCTTACAGATAGAAAGAGTTGGAATTATAGTTATGAAATATAATGAGCCCAGAGACTCTCTTCATTTTCAGATACTGCAGTAATCAAGACTTGCTAAATATTACAGACTTGCATGGGCTGTATTGAAGAGGCGGCGGTCAGGGACATGTAAGAGTTTTATAGAGAGACACTCTGTAGCGTGTCAACATTGTGAATTGCAAAGCTTTCCTCCCAATGTCGTGTCACATTTCAAGAGCGTGAATTTCGTGCAGCACGTGCATTACAGTCGGTCTTACTCACGGTGGACGAGAAGTCTGTGGTGAAGCGGCCTTAGCCCGGTTATAAAACTTGGACCGACTGTAGGGCTGGCTGGCGCGTAAGCCTGGGTATGATAAAGTTGTAAGTTTGACATTGAGTTCATTTTGATTGTCGAAGGGCGCTATTGTGGCAGAAAATAAAACTGTTAGTTTCTTTTGTTGTTGTTTTTCATCGGAATATAATGTGAATTCGTTTGAGTGCCTGTGTATAACACGCAGCTACATGCATTTTGGAGGTCTACGTTATGGGAGGGAACCGTCCCAAGTCGTCACAGATACGAAACTTAATTAGACCCGGTCTCAAACGGTCGATTTTTAACGCAAACAGGGCTAAAAGTCAACTGACAGTCGCGTAGAGTCCCATAACGTAGACCTCCAAAATGCAGACCTCCCAAAAAGCAGTTAAAATTAGCTCACTAATTAATTGGGCCATGCTGGTCACACCTAATTAATGAATGGACTGGTCCACTCCCCTGCTATGAGGGATTATCAATATGTCGAGACAATGAGCAGTAGTGGACAACAACATTGTCTTAAAAAAAACTCCTCCTTTCTTTAATCTGCTCCCGGTACATCACAAATCTTATTCAAACATTACATTTAAACAAGTTGTGGGATTTGTGTAAGAATATTCCAAATGTTCTCAATCACTAATACTTCCTTCTCTTGTGTATAGTATAACATATAAATATATTTGGACATGAGCTTCAACCTCGTCCAATTAAGCTATGGCCGGACTTACGAAAGTTGAGTATGTCTTGTCCCAGAAAGGTGCCCCACAAGTTCTCCTAGACGGCTACACGTACGCTAAGAACAGGACGAAGAATGAAAATGTGTACTGGAGGTGTGTGAACAGTTCTTGCAGTGGCAAGTGCACCACAGTCAGAGACTACGCTCGCGGCACGTCAGAACACAACCATCCACCTAGTGATAACGAGCAGTGAGATTTGTCGACGCCATAAGGAAGAGGGCCAGGGAAGAGACAACGCCTATGCAGCAAATCTACAACGACCTCATCAGCCAACGGGAGGACGACTTGGTGCCGCATCTGCCGTCCTTCCCGAGTGTGAGTAGTGCCATGTATCGCCACAGACGACAGAACATCCCTACCATTGCCGAGGTCAAGAGCTGAGGTGGAGAGAGCGAAACTAGCGCAGATTCAATTTGGAGCAGCACCGCCACCCAGGAAGGTTGTCTACAGAGAGAAAGAACATCGCCTTGTCCGACTCAAGGAACAGCTTCATCGCCGTGAAAAGACACCCCTTCAGTACCTGGATGCAGTTGGTCCACTGATGATAAACAAGTGAAAATGACTGATAATCATAAATGACAATGAAATAACATTTGAATGAAAAATTGTGAACTCTACCCAGCGTTCTTTCTTGTTACATCGGTGATACCATTTTACTGAAGGGTACAGGGTATTAAATACTGATGCAACCAGCCATAACGAGTGTTGTTTTAACGGGTCTGCGTTTTGGCAGGTCTACGTTTTGGGAAGATACCCTTGGGACGGCCTCGTCAACTAAACTTTATGTTATCAATAGTAGCTAATCCAGGCCTTATTAGACGCTGCGATTTCCTTTCGGTCGTTTCAGAAATAGCTTGAGTGTAGGCTTCTTTAAAAACAAACAAATCCGGGCACTATACAAGTTTTAATCGTTTGTTTGGCGATATGGGTTTGATTAAGACATGCTGCAGCCGTATGCAGAAAAAGAATATTCCATTGTGAACATGGTGAAGTATTTAGGCTGCGGGTTACATAAGGTCTTTACACATATTTGTGTAAGTCGATGCCTGTCTTTGATTGAGGAAATGCGGTTTGTTGAGGGTATTGCAACCCTCCTTGTGTGGTCCATTGCTACTGAGCTAAATTGTATATATATTGAAGGTCTGCATGCTATGTTGTTTACCAATGAAGCATTTCTTGTTTGGGTGGCAGGGGCGGATCAGTCGTCTAAGGCGCCGCAATGCAATTCTCTGTACAGAATTGCGTGTCTTGACAAGCCAGAAACTTATGGTTGTGGATTCGAATCCCAGTCCGCCCCAATTACGTTTCTAGGTTTGCCAGCTCCATACCCGTGGGTTTCACCAAAGTAGTAAACGAGACCTGTATCACTTCGGGCCTACCAACACAAAAATATATCCACCTAAAAAGTTCAGTACCACCACTTCTGTATCTTACTTCTGTGTAGCTTTTGGAAATCCAAGTCTCACATCCATCTCCTTTTGATCAATGTCAACACACTACAATAAAAAGTAACTATTTTCTATTGAACAGAGCAGGCGATGCTTAACATTTTCCCCAGGTGTATAGTTGAAATCATTTCCTAAAGAGGAGTCTGTAGTACACACCTATTAATTTCCCTGAAAATTCACCAGACAAGCTGACTGAAAACCTCCCAAACAGATATTGATCGGACAATGTATTATTGATCAGCAATTCAACTCTTGTCTGGATCGCATCCGAAATAACCTCACCTGGTGGGCTTTAAACTATAGTTTGTATCTTAGTGACAGTTCTCTCTCATGAAAATGTGTAAATAATGTAGTTTGTAACCGGCCAACGAATGCTTGGGACCTTACCTTCACCAGAAGTTTTCATGTAATAATTAGATCCACAGCTTTTATAAGTTATCAAGGGGTTACATTTATACAAATTTTCATATAATTATAGAACAGCAAGTAATATATACATATAATATATGTATTAGTATCCAGGGAAAATTCACATACAAAATATTAGTTTCAGTTATAGCTTTCAGATAAATATTAGCCTAAAGTAACAAGAACTCATCTCCCAGACATACAATTTAATATGTCCACATAGTTTAATAGATTGCCTTGAACTATTTCATTTTAAGTAAATCTGTCATCACCTATATTAGAATAGCCTTGAGCTAATACTTCAATTTAGACTCATTGAAGTTTAGCCCCCATACAAGCTTGTCTATTATGATATAGGTGATGACAGGTTAATTTAAGTTAAATAGTTCAGGGCAATCAATTTCACCTCAATAACTGTGATAATTAATCAAAATAATTCTTCTCCATTATGAACAC